AAATGTCTTCTTGGAGAAGATCCGAGCACAACACTTACCCAAAACTCTGTTACCAATATATCAGTAATGCTTCCAATGACTGAGACAAAATCAAAAACGTTCCAGGCATCTCTGAAGTAATTCTGAAAGAGAGAGAAGTGTGAAGGTGCCCAGTGACGAGACAAGTTAAACAGTGCTAGACAATGATATTACAGTAACACCGTGATGAACTGTAGGGGAGCATGACTGCAGAACACAAGCTCTGGGTTTGTCAGGGACAGGAAAAGAATCCTTGCGTAGTACTTACCAAAGGACCAAAAGCAATGATTTTCAGTATAGATTCCATAAAGAAGAAGGTGGTGAACACAATGTTTAGATACTTTAGCACATTATCGTAACTTTGTGATGCACCTTGAAACTGTTGACATAAAAAGACAGAAAAGAAAAGAGGGAAGGTTTAAAAAAAAAAAAGTTTGTGTTTTAGTATAAGCTTACATAACTGTAATGTTCCATACCTTCATCATTAGGACTATTGTGTTGAGTGCAATCAGAGCCATGATGCTGTACTCGAAGGGAGGGGACACGACAAAATGCCACATGCGATACTGGAAGCTCAGTTTGTTCTTTGGCATGTGGCGAGTCAGAGGTCTGGCATTAATAGCAAAATCTATACAGGCTCTCTGGAGAAGGATTTAAAAAATAAATATCAGAATAAACATATATTTTTCCAGTGGCTGCATAAAATTTTCCAGGTAGTCCCTTACTTCGTTTTTTTCTAAGCTGTAGTCCTCCATCATCTTATCCCCTTGTTCCTGGAAGGTGATGATGATGAGAGCCACAAAGATGTTTACAAAGAAGAAAGGGAAGACAACGAAGTACACCACGTAAAAGATGGACGTTTCCATCCTGTATCCCGGGCTTGGGCCCTGATCCTCATAAGTGGAGTCCACTGAGTGCTTTAGCACCCTGTGGGTGGAAGAAAAAAAAAAGATATTGATTAGGATAACTATACAGTAAGCATGCATTAAATCCAACACTGGAGAGAACATGAGCAGTGTTAGTCAGTAGGCAGCGCTAACACTGATCCTAGCTCACACCACAGTGAGCTCTCTCTAAACCTATCAGGGATATTACAAAAGGAATGAGGGATATGGAGGCTGGAGTTTCTAACTCAGTGTGGTTAATAAATTTCAACACATTGTTGAAGTTATTTCTGCACTTTCTATTGAAAAATATTGACCTCAGAGTCAAAAAAACTAACAGGAAGACACAGTCTTGTCTTGTACGATGTGAAGCAGCCAATAAGATCTCATGGTTTCAGTCCTAATCCCTCCCACTGAGTTTGATGGGTGATGTTAACAGTTTAAATACTCATGATAAGTCAGCTGTGCAGACATTATGAAATAAATAAACACATGAAAATAAAGGAGTATGTATTCAACTATGTATCTAACAAAAATTGCAACATAATTTAAAAAGGTATATATGATTTTTTTATGTTATTGCATCATTATGTATTAAACAAAAAAAATAAATGATACATTGCTTTTTGCAATAGGAAATTTATTTATTTCTTTTCACTTTTCATTATTTTATTTTTTTATTTATTCATTTCATGGCACATTTAAATGTACATGTACTTATTTAATAATGTTTAAATGAAACCTTTAGTTATTAAATGTAATATTAAATTTTACATTTACTGATGTAATGGTGATTTACATTCATCTACTCATTCAACAATTATCTGAGAAGGATCTTCTGCTTTATATTAAAGTATTTATGGTGTAAAAGTATTCTATGGTAAGTGTGCGCCGTCCACTTACTGTGGCCACCCCTCTCCGGTGGAGACGGTGAAGAGGGTGAGCAAGGCCCAAGCCACGTTGTCGTAGTGAAAATCGTACTTCTTCCATTCCCGCTTCTCAGCTTTTACCTCTTCTTTTTCATAGACTAAATATTCGCCCCTTTAAGTGAAAAAGGAACAAATTCAACCAAACATTAACATTTTTCTTAAAATATTACCCAGTGACTCTTAGTGGTATCATAAAACAAAAACTGAAATGCGGACAGACAACTTCATGCTTCTGAATTCTACTAGCCTGTATGTCTGCAAAAGTCATAAAATTACTCCAATGTGAAATGAAACACTAAAAGCTTTTGGTTATAAAGTTTTTATATAAAAAAATTAGTATGCACTAGCTTGACAAAGAATTAATGTATATTCTATTTGTAATTTTTCTTAACCGACCTGCAGTCCCGTGCAAACTCTTTGGATTCATCTGTGCAGTAGAAGAAGCGGCCCTTAAACAGCTGCACAGCCACAACAGCGAAGATGAACATGAAGAGCATGTAGACAATCAAGATATTCAACACATTCTTCAAGGAGTTCACCACACAGTCAAAAACTGCCTGCAAAGTGAAAAACAGAAACGTTTGAATGTTAGGGTGGTTAGTAAAAAAAAAAAAAAGTTCTTATACTCAAGTTTTTTTAATCAAGACACTAAATAAGCTTGTTGAGTCTAAGTGGGCTGGCATGGTTCTCTGTTGGTCATGATTATCACACTACTGTAATTTCATGTCTAAAAGATTTGGTTAAAAAAAAAAAAAAAAACAAGAAAAGCATAAAAAAATTATAAACTTATACATATAGACATTTCTTGGTTATGGGGTTTTTCCTTTTGAAATCATGAGCACACCACCCTTATACTATTGGCAACAAAATTATATTTTTCACTAAAGTGTTTATTTGTCTCAGCTGGCACACATCTTGCCAGGATTGCTGTGTTTTTGGGCATCAATGCTGAAGCACCAAGGGGGATGGCAGCCTAGTGGTTAGGGCATAGAGCTTGGAATCCAGAAGTTTTGAGTTCCAGCCCCAATGCCACAGACTGAGCAAAGACCCTTAACCCCACACTGCTCCCTGGGCGCCGCACAATGGCAGCCCACTGCTCCACAAAGGGAATGGGTTAAATGCAGAGAGCTCATTTTGTGGCTCTGTACTTGTGACAATGTAATGATCATAAACGGCTGTAAAAGAATGTTTAATGTTCCTTGTCTGCTCGTTAGCCCTCCCTTTGTCTCTCTCTGCTATATATGCTCTCCCTCTGCTCTCACTCTTTGTTGGTTCCTTGTCTTTGCTGTCCTCCCATGCTGTTGTCCACATTCCTCGTCTCTCCCTGGCTCCTCGTGTTTGGTTTTCCCCAGATGTCTCCATAGTTCTGGTTTGCCTTTGATTATTAGTTGGATTTTTGCATTCCTGCCTTTGTTACTGTTTTTGCCCCATTAAACTCCCAAGAAATCTCCTCAGCCTCTCTGCCTCTGCATTTGGGTCCTCTACCAAAACTAACCTTGACAATAATATAAAGTTACAGTTTAAAACATACAATTCTCCATCTTACTGCACCATTTTAAAGCAGGCATAGGAACATTTATAGGCTAATAAAATACAAATAAATTGAAATTACGAAACAGCTGTTTGTGTCATCTGGACTAATGTAAGGGTATGTAGCAACTATAAAGATATGACAAAAAACCCCCTTCAATTCAATACATTTGGAGCTTTAAAGACAATTTTTTAAACTAAAAAAAATTCAAACAACTTCACATTCAGACCCCATAAATAAATAAAATAAAAAATCAGCACAGCCTACCTTTAACTTTGGGAGACGCTTGATGGTTTTAAGTGGACGCAGCACCCTCAGCACACGCAGGGATTTGATTGTACTGATGTCTTTGCCTTTGCTGCTCCCCCTAGTGTTTCAGCAGGGAACATAAACAACATAACTTAAAAGTTAGACTGCAGAATAGATGCTTCATAGCAGACTAGTCACAAGGACTCCCATCCTAACCTATTGGTTTAATTAAAAATAAGAAATTGCGAAATGCCTTTAAAAAAAGTGCATTGATTGTTTTTTTTTTGCAGACAAATAAAAAAGTCAAACATGAAACCGACGAGAGAAAACATTCAATCCCTTGTCTGAGGTCTTGGTTTCATGGACACTACGAAGCACCATCATTGTTAGATATGACAATCATCAAAAATATGCAGTCACGTATTGCATAACTACAGGCATCTCCCCGGTGGAGTGCCCGGCCAAACCTCTTTCTTTCTTTATCAGTGAGATGCTGTTCAACTCTTCAAAGGAAGTGAACATTTTAGATATGAAATGATGAAGTTCAAATGTTTAACCTCTAGGATTACTTTGGAATAATCCCAAAAGTATCTTTACATAGATGTAGTATGTAAAAAAAAAACAAAAAAAAAAACGTTTCTTCTCACATAGCTCTCTTTAAGTGCTTTAAAAATAATTATAAAAAAGATCCTGCTCATTATTGTTCTTTTGCACTGGAAAAAATCGAAATCTAGATAAGTAATTTTTTCTTTAAATAAGTGCATTTGTTCCTGAATTGAGGAGGTAAAAGAGATATTTTGCCAATGGAACAAGACAATTTAGATTTAAAATAAGAAAACACAATTACATTGTTTTATTTCAAGTGCATATTATCTAATTGTCTTATTATAAGAGTAAAAATACTCATTCCTTTGGCAAACTATCTAATTTACCTACTTAAAGTAAGGATAAATGCACTTAATTTATGAAATTCTTACTTATTTCTAGATTGTTTTTGTAGTGTGTAAAAAGGATAACTTAAAAAGTTTCAAAGGCTAGAGCTGGAGGCTATGCGGGGAATATTTGGGCCTGTGATGCTGCACACAGAAGACAACATCTCATGTTGTAAAAAAAAAAAAAAGAATCATAAGGAGCAGAAAGCGATAATTTAAAGACAAGCCTTTTTGCTCATACCAAGACGATAACGTTTTGTGCATGGTCCAAATTCCTGAAAGGAAAATGCCAATAAGGCAATAAATAGAACACCTGATTTTTACAGTAAGTGGCTCGGCCATTCTGAAGAAATACAAAGAAAGACTGAAGTGGACGCTTGCCAAGTCAGCGCAGGAGACAGGCCGTCTATCAAGGTTGGCACTTAAACTATGAACTCAGTTCCTGTGACTGAAAATGAATGACAGCTTAATTTAGTGCTGATTGATTGAGTTGGAGTCTTTCAGCTTTAAGTCTCGCTGTGTAGGTGTTGTGTGCTCGCCATGGAGAGAATCAATAGGCCTTCCTCATTTAAATGTGTGCAGAACAGAAGTCTCTCTATGAAAACAGATTTACAGAATTAAAGTAAAGCCCTGTAAGGTCAAAGGTGTAGGAAATGGCTGCATCCTTGTGGCCTCAAATACAGTAGTTATGTTCGCCTGATAAAGCTGTGATTGTAGCAATAGGATTCTTTGTTTAGATTACTGTATAAAATGATTTTGTATTTTAATCTTAAAACTATTATGCTGCAAAAATCATTTGAATGACAAATGCAATCTGTTCCCAAAATCTGGGTTTTGAGGGTTTAGCATCCCAGATCTGCCTAGCGGAGTGGTAACTAGCTAAAAATTATGCACACTTTTAATGTGAATGGATGGATTGAAAATGCTTATTAGATGAATTGCTTGAAAACCTTTAAACACTTTCATGCACTTCATGTTTAGTGGATTTGCAGCCAATATTTCTTATAAATGTATCGTTATTGCATCCACATAAATAGGACAGCTCAGTTCATACCTCTGTATCTCTTATTATTTATAGTAGCTGGTTATGAAGTCTGTTGCATCAGTATTTGAAAGGACATGACTCATGTCATGTTCACATGTCTGTAAATGTTGACAAAATTTGTCAATCAGAGTTTTAGGGCTCAATTTTCGTTTAGAAGTTATAACCTTCATGGAAGTACTAAAATAAGTTAAATTGGCCCTAAAAGAAGAATTATTTTCAGGATACAACTAAAAACTATTGATATTGGTTCCTTGGTTTAACTGAAGTCATTTGGAACCTGAAGTGGAAGATTAGCTCCAAATCATCACATTTACACCACCATGTTACCACTGGTATGTTCTTCTGTGTAGTAAAGCTTATGTTTGAAACTGCCTTTTAAATCCATTTAATATTGTTTGCCAAACATTTGAATTTCTTTATCCAAGGACAGAATATTTTGCAAGTTTCCGACTGAATTAGAAAGAGCCATTAAATAATTTTATATAAAACTAATATGAAGTTTTATGTCTGATCTCTGCCTCTTACTTTTGATTATCTTCCCCTTTTGTCTTAGCAGCCGTTTGTCCTCTTCGCCAAACCCATGAAACTACCTGAGAGGTTCGGATAACTTATTGTGAAATATATCTGTTTGGGAAAAGCTACTGCTTTTGAGATCCTTTTTCTAAAATTTCTTTGACTTTTTATGTTAATTATTAACAGTACAATGGTGTGGAAATATTTTTATACATGTTAGCATGGTATGGTTTTGATGTGTAAGGCAAAAGTATGAAATCATTATTGGTAAATTCTGGTGCTTTCCTAGAACCTTCCGAGTTGTCTCAAAAAAATAAAACAAAACAGAGAATCAAACTGTTGATTTGAGAGTGTGAGCACAGTGATACACTGAGAAGGAGCACAAATGACAAGAAGCACAAAGAAAGAAAGAGATAGTAGCCAACGTGATTTCGGTAACTTTACACGGGGAGCAGAGGACAGAGGAGGAACTTTACCGGGTGCTGCTCCTGTCGGGTTTCACCGGAGGTGGTGACAGCGAAAGTCAAGGTGACAGCGACAGAGAGAAAGACGGAGGAACAAGAGGATAGAGAAAAACACATGGAAAGACACAAACACAGAACACACACATTGATAGAGACAGACCAACAAAAGACAAAAGAGAGAGAGAGAAAGAGAAGGGGGTTTGGTAGAAACACAAAATATACATCTATATGAGAGACAGACAAAGAAGGAAGGACAGCAAGATGACTATATCTAATTAAATATACCTCAGCTACCTTTTAACAAACATGTTTTTTCCCATAATGCCTCTCGTGTAATATCCTGTCTTCCTAATAGCTAACCTGATTTAAATACGCGTAACCTGTTTGTCTAAAACAGTAAAGGTGCATCTTTCGTGACCAAAGCCCTCTTATTCATTATATCTAAGGGGCTTTTAAAATAGCTTTTTAACAAATCACTTTGACCTAACTTTCTTTGAGCTAATGACGCCCTAATGTCTTGATAAAATCAGAGGAATAACAGCGATGAGTTCATAATTAAGGTCAAAGGTCACTGCTTTATATATCACACAGGTGCATCTCTATAAATTAATACATCATCCAAAAGTACTTTCATTTCAATATTTTTAATCAGAAAATTGAAATTCATTGCTTCGTTACATACTTGGAAATTATCCGTACCAAGTGTCTATTTCTGGTCAGTTTGATGACTATGGCTTGCAACTAAAAAAAACCCTGATTCTTTAATTTAGTTTTTTATTTTTAGAAAATTGAAGTACTCATTTTGACTTATAAAAGAGTTTAATTTGCTTCAGGTAAAAATTTGTGGTGCCACACTGCAAAGAAAAAAAGTTATTTTTTCTTAAAATAAGTGCATTTATTTCTTGAATTGAGCAGGTTAGTGAGACACTTTGCCAATAAAACAAGATAATCTACATTTAAAATAAAAAACGACAGCATCTTATTTCAAGTGCATTTTTCCTAATTATCTTATTGAAAGAGTAAAAATACTAATTCCATTGGCAAACCATCTTATTTACCTACTTAAATTAAGGGTCAGTACACTTAATTTAAGAATTTGTACATATTTCTAGATCATTTCTGGAGTGTATATCTTCAGAGGTGGTAATTAGTTCCAACAATGTCATGAGGATGTCAAGTGGACATAATCAGAGGACATTGTCACTCAAAGAACCTCAGACTGTTCAAATAATAATATTTCCCCTACATATATGTGTTTAAAACCTTCCATACATTATGTGGAAAATGGATGTAAAAAAAGTGAACTTTCTCTTTGCTTGAATCTGTTATTTTATAATGAAGCGATTCATTTTTACTAACTTTTGGTGTAATTATTCCAAATATCAAAAATAATATCATGCACAGAATTTTATATTTTTTGCTGTAGCATTAAATTATTGTATGATTAAAATGTTCTACTCAAGTAATCAATACCTAAGTAGTTTTAATCTCAATAAGATTGATTAACCAGCAAACTCAACAAAATGATCACAGACAAGCGGAAGGGGCCACCACCAACATGAAGCACATGGATATTCTTCACAATAGACTGTATTTTTTTATTTGGTTTATGTGGGTATTCCACTGGGTGCAAGCCATAATCATTCTACATTCACAGGAAACATCACATCTCTAATTTATTGAGAGACACCTGTTTTACAACTAATTAATTATTGAAAAAGCCAATGTACAGCCAATTGTACCTCAAACCAATTATTGGCAGCATTTTTTGTCAAAAAAAATATTGTAAAATATCCGAGGTGATCATACGTGTAGAGATATACTATTGCTTAAATATTTAAATCTTAGACTTAAACAACTTTTATTGTCATTTTTATACACGGAGTGTATACAATACGAAATTTCGTGTGGGAGAAACAATCATGGCGCAAAAAAAAACGCATTGATATGGAAGTTCAGAGCATCAATCTACTGGTTTAGACTATAGTAATACCCATAGTTTTCTGTTAAAACCAAGAATTGTATTCTATAAATACTGTACTTTCCAGGATCCACAAATAAAACAAATAACAATTGTTTGAATATAGCTTCTGAGAGTCTAGAATTACATGTTTCTTTCAGTAGACATGTTTTCCTCTGGCCCACTATAAGCCTTGTAAACTGGAACTAAAATATTGCATTCATGTTCTTCCTTTCCTCCTTGAATAACGCTATAATGACCAATTAGAACAGACCTTCAGCACTAATTGTCCTCATTATACCAGTAGCACCTGGAGGGGTTTGCAAAAATATTCCTCAGCATGCACAACTGTACAGAAATATATATATATATACATATATTTAACTTTAAGTCTTTACAAGAGATCATTTCCAGGTTTGCTTGACCTAAGAGTGCATTCGCTCATCTATCATGAGCGGAGATTCAAGAAACCAGGATTTGTGTGTATTGTATCGTACACACATGCTATCAATAGCAGTAAAAGGCATTCTCACAGAGTATTCTCACTACATGCACTTTAAAGTCATATGACTTTGAAACATTCAGCATTTGTTTGGAGAATGCCAAAAGCAGTAGAATTGTGTTTGTAACACACATACACACAGACATGAAGCCATTGTACTGTTTCCATGCTAAATATAATCTGTACAACGCTTCTTCCGGTTATCTGGTTAAATATAACTTCATGCTTCACAGGGAAATTGCAGGTGTGTGAAGCCTGTTTGAGCAGCACTGTACTCTAGTGTAGCAGATGATAAGAGGCAAAGCTTTAAAAAAAGAGGCAGAGGTGGAAGAGTAGCAGTGTAAGAATAAATACACTATCAGGGCAGGGGGAGAGGAAAGCCCAAAAAAAAAAAAAAATGGTGGTAGGAAAAGGGAAAAGCAACAGATAAAGAAAGGAGGAGATGTCCTGCAGAGGGAAGTCATGCTGTGCAGGGTGGAGCAGTGGAGTGATTTTTATACTGCTACAACAAACCTGTCTGCTAGGGGGCACTGTAGACTAATAAGTCATATTGTGATGCTTCTTTTTATCCTTTTTATCCTGAATTAATCTGCGTCAGTTTCTGTGTTTCTATTAAATACAGTTTAAAAACTACATATTTCAGGTTATGAAGCAGTAGATCAGTAGGTAACTTCTACTGTAGCTCTCGAAGGCTGATTAATTCAAATGTCTACCATCAGCTTATTTTTTTCAGAACAGAAGAAAATATCTATCAATCATAACTAATATCTTAACTTATTCCATAAATAAAAAAATTCTTTCTGAGTTTGTCTTTAAGGAATAAGTCGTTAACCATATGGAGGGATTTGGAGCTTTATTATTGCAATAATGCCAGATTTATATGTCGGCTGTTAAACAAATTATAATTCATTCAAAATGCAGTTGTTCATTTCCAAACATTAAAATAAACTTTCTTCTCTTTTGTTATTTTAAAGAATACATTTTAAGAATTTGCTCAAGCTAATAAAATACTAAAAAGGCATTATGTGCATGTTTTAAAATGACAATTTTTTTTTGTCTTTAAGAATGGATTTGCAACAGTATTTTGGAAGATTTTTTTCCTCCAGGAAAAAGAGAGAAATATATTCTGCATGGAGAGCTCCAAATAAGACCCAGTGCAGCAGTAATATATAAGAGTAAGCTATTTCAATTTAAACATCTACCACTGCATTTCTGGCACCTCAAGCAATCCAAGTGTCTTTGCGCCACTTATGTATTTTCACTCGTGGTCTCAGGCAGTGCTGCTTCGTCTAAAATTGCTTTGCTTTTGATCTGAACTCTTTTTGACAGTATATATAAGTCACGTTTTACCAAAGATATTTTAGTTGAGCTTGACTCTATGTGCTGAACATGTGATGCCGTGTACTGCATCGCAGGTTCAGGTTCATGCAGTGACTACTGCAGACATGCATGGATGCACAAGCTCCTCTATCTGGCTCCTGCACTTCCATGTTTACTTTCATTAGCATACAGGCATCTGTTAAATATACAGTACCGGAAAGAGTTTGAAGTCATCCCTTGTTTCTTTTATGTTTTACTTTTAAGGAAGACAATTAGATTTTTGTCTTTAAAACCTTTTCCTTGAACTTTTTATTTTAATTCCTGGTGGTTTTGTCCACAAAAATTATACCAGATCAACAAATACTTATTTACAGAAAACAAACTTCAAAAGATGTAGATACATCAGACCTGTAATGTTTTTTTCTCATGCTATTTTTCTCAAAATAGCAAGGATCTGACAGAGGACAGACAGTAATTACTTTTTTGATGTCTATGTCAATAAAGAAACTTGTTGATTCATTAAAATAAAAAATAAAAAAATTCAGTCATAATCATAAAGTGTTTTTAAGAAAATGCTTCTGGCATACCTTGCACAATCTGTTCACAAAACAAACAAAAATAGATAAATGGAAGTAGGTAAAGGGTTAAAGAAGCAAAGGGTCTGAGGAAGACGGGCAAATCCAATATGCTGCTTTTATTTAGGTGTTTGTTTTGGAGATGAAATTAGCAGCATTGACTTATAACTAAGGATAGCAAAATATTTAATTGTCACAATATCTGATTATGTGTCAGTTGTTTTCAAAGGACTGGATTTTCTATTGCACCTCATAAACACTTTGCATGCCAGTATAAAAATATAGCGTAATGGATGGAGTCTATCGGCTGGAGATGCCCACAATTCAATGCATTCATGATAATTATTAAAGATGCAAAAGGTCAGAAAGGCCGTTAGAGGCAGAAGTATCCCAATCAAAGATCCTAATATTGGGAAGGCTTATTTTGCTGTATTTAATGAAAGAGTTTGCGTATAACATTCTGTCTGTATGATTAGATTGAATTATCTCTGTAAAGTGTCTCTGGCTGAGACATGGTGTCAATTGGCGCTATATAAACTAAATTGAATTCAATTGAATATTCTGCTACTCTCAGATATTTTTCTGTGATTCAACATTTTAAAAAAATATGAGTGCATTTTTAATGATGACTTATATCATCATGAATATTTAAAGTAAAGTTGATGTAAAGTTTTAATTTTCAGTATGGCATGCTGACTTTCAGTTTGAAGCTGCCCAGCTGCTGTTACCAACGGTAGCTGAAAATTTTTTTAACAATTATTTTCAAATACATGACAAAAGTTCACATTAAGCCAATGTTGAGGTGTTATAAAGAAATAAGGTAACACATTTGGCCTCAAACAAGTTCCAACACAAGATTGGTTTAATCCCTGAGTTAAGGAAGCTTTTCATGCCTGAAGTATTACTGGTCCAAAATATAAGGCCAACAACAGACATTTAATAAAATAAAAAAACAGACTCAACTTAATATAATTAAAAGGCAGAAAAAGTCCAAAGAAAAAAAGGATTTAAGACAACTGCAAAATATTCCTTAGAAAGCTTAACTTCTTTCAAGCAAAATACACAGAAATTAGGGATGACAACACTTTCCCAAAACTCAGTTTTTACTCAATATATCAACGCTGTGTGAGAATAAGAAACCATTCCACCCACCACACCCCACCCCAGCATGCTTCCCCCTTCCCCTCCCTTCTACTGTACTTTCCCAGGTCGTGCAAAGGAAAGAGAGTTAAATACCTGTGCCTCCAGATTCGTTAAAGTCAGACTTGAGTACCAGAGTGTGTGTGTGTGAGTGTTTAGGTTTGAATGTGTGCTGGTAAAAAAAAATCGGGGGCAAGAGGGTGAGATGAAGTCCTGCTGCCAGCTTTCTTCTGTGTGGCATATGGATAGCCTGGGCACTTAAAGGGTTAAAGGTGTCTGGGATGCCCTCACCCCCACAAACTGATCGACTTAGACCTCCAGCAAGGGAATATGGGCGAATGAGGAGGTGGTGGTGTGGATTTGTTGGGGAGATATGATCTCTGGTTTAATGATTCTTTGTGGGTCGGTTGCTGAGATAAATGTTTGATGGATTTTGTAACATGAAGGAATATAAAAGGACAGAACCGTACAAGAATGGGAGGTTTGATTCAAGGGGAATAGTGGTAAATGGTATCTGCTCCTAACATACAGCAGAAAGGTGAACCATGACCTAAACTGGCAAGAAAAGACGTCTTGATCAGCTCTAACCTTGTAAGAAAAGTTTTTAAGGTTATTATGATTCTTCCCATCAGGAAAAAAAAAGATACACTAATTCTGCTCTTTATTACAGTGACCAAGACATTTGTTCAGATTTATTTGCATTTATTATTTACAATTCACTCCTTATTAATTCCTTTTAGAGATGTAACAAATCAGAGCAGGTTAAACTTCCACAGAGTAAATTATCTCCAAAGTTAAAAGCCTGTACAGAGATCAGATGCAACCATTTTTAGCTTCACAATAGAATGGGGGCCAATCATCTGATTAAGTGAATAGGATGAAGGAAAACCAGGGTTTTTACTGGCTGGACCTGGATTAATCTGTTTGATTCACAAAGTTTAGGTAAAATCTCACTTGAATCTTTCACATCTTCTCATAGTAGGGATCGTAAAAATTATTTATGCTATAGATGTTAAAACAAAATTTTATTACAAACAGACTAAAAAACAACGCTGTTGTAGACCAGGATCATTTAACTTTCCTTTTCAAAATGAAAAGGAAGAAAAAAAGCTAAGCTTAAACTATAAAGCTAAAGTTTCTACAGTTAACAGGTCAAATTAAGCCTTCTCAAATTCATGCTACAAACTGGTGCTTTCTACCTCCATTTTATTACTATAAACCACTAGATATCAATGTGATTATATTGTTAAATGAGTTTCTCAATAAGCAAGTGATTTCATTAAAAATACGCAAGTCTTTCATCTGATTAAACTACCATATTTTCCGAGATATGAGCTGCTACTGTACTTTTTCCCCCATGCTTTAGACCAGGGGTCTTCAACGTTTTCCAGGTCAAGGATCCCCAAACTGATGGCGACATGGAGCGGGGACCCCTTAATTTTATATATATATTGTATGAAGATGTGTTATCTTAAATTGGTCCTATAGTCACTCTATTACAGATGGAGTAATGTAACGAAAGTAATTTCTCGCTGGGATTATTAAAGTATTTCTGATTCTGATTCTTTGGGACCCCCATGCAGTATTGCGGCTTATATAAGTATTCTTCAAGTTTTGTCAAAACATTTTGTGGGCACTTCTTATAGTGAGTTGCACTCTATAGCCCCGAAAATACGGTATATTATTCACTGAAGTATTACATACTTCACGTGGATATTGTTAGGAAGTGTGGATCGTACAGACATATACACAAAAATATGTAAAGCTAGTAAAATGCATTGAATCTTTTAGTAGAAGATACAAATTTACATTTCTACTTTCATTGTCACCAAATAAAATAATGATTTACTCAAACAGCAATACATTTATTTAAATGGATTGTGTATTGAATAAAAAAAGTAATAATAATCTAAAGTAATTTGTTGGAATTTTGTCAAAACTATCAAGATGTTAGTTGTTTGATAAACCCTTAATGGAGGTGTTAAAGAGGCCTGCATTTCTTTGAGGGTAGAACAATTAGGTGGCAGAGCAAGTCAGCATCCACATGTGCAGTTTTTCTACTTGCTGTATGTTAGGAATAAGAAGTTTGAAGGGGTGTGTGATCTATGGAAGGTCTAAGAGGTGTGGTGGTAAGAAAAAGTAGTTCGTAGGACCAAAACTAGAGTGTTAAGATGCAAAATAAGAGGAAGGGATGACTCACGGCCTGGTTGGTGGAAATATCAGGTTGGCATGATTTGAAAAATAAGGGAGAATAAGGGAACAGGCAAGGAAGATGGGTTGCAAGATTGTTTATAAGGAGAAATTTGCGGATTAAGAGTTTATAAAACAGTTAGGGAAGTAATGTAGGGTTAGTTCTTTTCATGACTATTGGTGGTTTTGGAAGGAAAAGGAGATTAGAGATGATGCCACTACACTCTAAAAACGTATTTGCATATCAGCAATAATAATGTTTCCAATACAGTTGACATTTTTGGCAGTAAAACTATCATTTGGAACCAAAGGGAAGTCCCAATAGTCCAAAAACACTAAAAAAAAAAATATTTCGGAGGCTGTTTTGTTTTGTTTTAGAGTGTAGATCAGAGATTGGACAATCAGGTGAGACACATGTGGGCATATTTCAGTAAAAGATGAGGGCTTGGTAGACAGATGAAGGTGGAAATGTTATGTAGAGAAAGACCACTTGATGATGGGATTAAATATGTGATGCTGAGCAATGAACAAACTGAAATGTAAATTTGACATGAATTGTGTTTGATCATGAAGGAGGAGAAACAGTGTCCTCAAGAAGGATCAACAACAACAGAGATGAATAGAGCAGACAATACCCGAGGAAGAGAACAAAGAAATACAGAACAAATTAAAAGAATGTAAAAAAAAAAAAAAATTACAAGAGGAAGAAAGCAACAGCTGACAGAAAAGAGGAATAGGATAAGGATTTTCTAGACACACCAGGCTGAGACAAAACTATAGGGAAGAGGGACAGAGATAGATCAGGATTGTCTGGTTAACTGAGCTTTACACCCTGGGCCTTTCTGTGGATGGTGCAATGTGTGTGGGTGGTGGGTGAAGGTGATCAAGAGGAGGGTGAGGGGTGGTGAAGGGGGCACTTACGTGAAGGCGAAGGCCACCAGAGCACCACTAACCACTATAAAGTCCAGAATGTTCCACAAGTCACGAAAGTAAGACCCTTGGTGGAGAAACAAGCCGAGTACCACCATCTGGAAGACATGAAGAGAGCTCAGAAAAACATGCACACGTTACAACACATGTTGGGCTTCCTGCACATACCTCATTTTAAAATCCCACATTTTAAAACAAACAATGACTTTACAGGCTTTCAGATACCAGGGATTTTTAAAATGTATTCTTTAACAAGGAAATATGCATTTATTTATGAGTGCCTGACTTACTGATTGATTAAAATATGGCTCTGCTTTTTGAGTTTTATAGAGATTTTGAAAAATTAAGTAATAAAAAATATTCAAAACTTAAAAGCCAATTAAAAGTTAACAATTTTCTTAAAGATTTTCTAGAATCTATGAAAGAGCCAGGAAGCGTGAACGTTCCACTGATTAGTTGCTCTATTTTACTTATTTGAGCTTGTGGCAGCTTTCTGAAAATGTCATTTAACTAGAAGAAATTTATGTTAAATTAAAGTTTTATATATACAATTAAGTGATTTACAGCTAGTAAAGCTAATTGCAATGATTTGATTTTACTACTAATACAAGATGCTTAACAGTTTAAAATTTCAATAAAAGAGAGAAGAGAAAGAGTTTTGAAAGCTTTTTTTAATATTAGCTCTAAATAAGAAATCTGAATCGACATCTCAAAGATTTCTGAACAAAACATCGAAATATAGACTCCAATTTCTCATCCAGAAAAAAAGGATGAATATTTAATAAACTAAAATATAGATATTTTAAAAGAAGAATTGAGACTAAAGATTTTTTTTTTTTACACTTATTTTAACTCAGAGGAGCATGTAAAGCTAATTCCACTTTTTCATACTTTTAAACAAAAACCCTTTAAAAAAAACCTTTTCTATCACTAAGGGTCTACGACAACTGCAGCTAGTTTAACTTGAGTTTACGGACTGTCAATCAGTGTTAAAAAAAAGTAGTGTGTATCAAGCACTTTTAATTTTAAAACAGCAAACACAGAAATAATATCTTTTCATTACAGAAATTAACACCCACACCTGCTAAGTGATACTTTGTTACCTTGATCAACATTTCAAATGTGAAGACCCCTGTGAAAACGTAGTCAAAATAACGCAGCACCTGCAGAGCAACACAAAACGTTAAAATACAATTATTTTAAAGCAGAAAAGGAGAACACTAATGTTCAGATCAAATCAAAGCTCTGGGCAATAAAGTCTATGTTACTTATGATCATGATCAAGTTTTTTATCCTTTATATCCTGATAAAAGTAATTTAAGAATAATCGTTTAAAGTCTGACACTTTATTAGAATTCATTAATTCTTTTCCATATATACAGCTGAGAACTCTTAGCTTTTAACCTGCAATATCAATAATCATCATTATTGAATGATTTGTATCATCAATGAGATTGTGTCACCCTTGATTCATTTTGGAGCATTTCAGTTTTTCTACAAAGCAGCATATCATTTGCAAACGCTGGTTTGGGAATATTGTGATTCTGACATAATGTCACCTAAAACAGACATCCGATTAAAATTTTTATAAAACGGACAACACAACCCAGTCGGCCTCGGCAGATGGCCACTCACACTGAGCCTGCTGGAGGTTTCTTCCTGTTAAAAGGGAGTTTTTCCTCTCAACTGTCACTGTAAACATACTTAGTGTGAAGGATTGCCTTTGAGTCAATGAATCGATGCAATCAACTGGTTTTCCTTAGATAGAAAACTTTAAATCAATTTGATTTCATGATTTGGTAATCTGTAAAGTGCCTTGAGATGACGTGTTTTAAAATTGGCACTATAGAAATAAACTGAATTGAATTGAACACCTATCCTCTTTAAGCTAGAACCTTTCTTCTGCCTGAGTAGATTTTATGTAGAGCGGATTGCTGAAGTGCTAGCTAAAATTAGCAGGTTTAGCCTCCACTTTTACATGAATTGTTTAAAATTTAGCCTTAAAAAATTTTCTTTATTTCTGGTTGATGAACTAAGGAAGAGTTTTACAAAATGTTTTCCTTGACCTGAAGTATGTCTCTTTGGGACAAAAGTAACAAGTAGTATCTAACGTATCTAAGGTGTGCATTCTTGCTTCACAATTGATTTAGTAAACCAAGATGTCCCAAATTAAAAAAGTAAGACTTTTTTTAAAATCAGCCTATAAAAATGTTCATTAATGCTCGAAAATATCACTGTAATGGATTTGGCACTTGGGAATCCTATGTAGCAAAATCCCTAATTTGGTAAAACTGTGTGTCTGACTAAATGTTTGCACAAAGGAGAGACAGACAGGCAGACAGACTTTCTCTTTTTCATAGAATTAAAGTCTGAAAATGCTTACAGGGTTTTAAAAAATTATACATTCAACAAAACAAAAACTGTTGTGTAAAATGTGGCTATATAGCTTTTGAACGTACAGCTACTGTAACATCATCATAGTTGGTAACGTAGCAGGTAACTGGTTGAGTTTAGTTAGAGACACTAATTGGGATTGTTAAAAAATTGGTTTGAGGATTTCTTTGGTCATTATTTAAATGTGTAGTGTGATCTGGATGTGTTTGATCATTTTGTTATTTTTTGATGTTTCTATTTTTGGAGTTTTGCATGCAATGCATCAAAATGGTTGTTATTTTTTCCCTGTTGTGTGATTGAGAAAAATAAAACATACAATGATTGATTGTTTTTAGAGGAATTGCTCATAAATTCTAGTCTTTTGAATATATGAACACATTTTTACAGTCTTTATCTGCAAAATGATAAGAATTTTACACAAATTGAATGTAAAAAGACAGCAACACATTAATGCCTCACATTGTTCCGTGGTGAGTCAGGCTTGACGGGGTCTTCTGCTGCAAGGGCGATGCTGCTCATAGCAATGACTGACAGGATGCTGAACTCAAAATACTTCAGAGTAAGAATGTAGTGACAGCACTTGCGAAACCTGATGTAAAAACACAAAGGCATCCACAATATGGTACTAAAAGATTTCACAGAACACACCGAGTATTTCTTTGCAAAAAAAAACCTTTTGATTTCCAAGAACACCCCAATTATGGCACATAAAGCAACATTAAATACTCACGGGTTGGTGGTAGACATTATGAAACAAGAGCTATAGGGAGGCATGCGTTTAGGGCCATCTTCATCTTCACCCTCATCCTCCTCTTCCTTCTTCTCCTCGCTTTTCTTTTGGTCTGTATTGGCGTTCTTGTTCACTGAGTACAGACAAGCAGAAAGAGCAGAGAGGATAAATAAGTGACAGACTGACAGAAAGAGGTCAGCATGCAACACATTCACCAGCATTCCTTCAGGAAAACAGAGGAACATAAGGAGAAACATGACCGCTATACATGGCCAAACAGTATTTATATACTGTTAAAAGTGGAATGACGGAATTGTCACTTCCCATAACAACTTTACATATCAGCTGTATATGTTATATGCAGCAAGTTTATAGGAAACTGAAGTCATAGTTGTAATAGTGGAAGGCTAATAGTTATTCATATAGGAGGTCTTAGTTTAAAGAATAACATTCATTTAAACTGACAACTTAGATTTAAAGAATGGACTCTCAGTCACACCAGATTGATTTGGATAATGAAAGTGAAAGCCTCAGCAACTCTTCCAGTAACTATTTTGTTGTTTAAAAAGTTATTTCAGTTTGAGTTCAGTATCAATTAAGTGAGTGAACACATGACTACTTTCTGGTGTTTTACAGCCCCTACATGTATTTTGTGTTCAATAAATTCATTGTAATATGCCACTGTTCTGCTATAGGCACGGGATCCACATTAAGAAAACCCATTGAGAAAATCTCTTTAATGCTATCTCTGTTTATTTTTGTGATACAGGTCTTGTTTAAAACCTTTATTTTCCTCTTTACTTATCACCAGATTTTCCAAAATATAACCAATGTCAACAAATTTGAATATTTTGCTGCTAAATTAAACCACAGATAATTTCACAGAACAAAAAAAAAAATGTTTAAGGGATCATTAATCAGTGTAGGAAAATTAAGTCCAAACTGATGAGTATTGATTTGTATCTTTTCCATCTGTATTCTGTCATCTAATTACATAACATGATGCCCGAAAAGTTTGCTTAATGTAAAACGGCAGCATCTTAAAGGATTATGCACCCGAGTGACTTTATTTTCTATTGGAGCAGAAGAATTATTTAATATCTACTGTCTTCCTTACTTCCAAATGGAGTCTTAAATATAAAAACAGCTGGTTTTTAAGTTGACCTAATAATAGCTGACTGATGACAAAAATTTGGGCTGTTTCCATTAACATTTTTTTTTACTTCCAATCAAATTTCGATAGTTGAATTTGAATATCTGCTGATCCCGATACTTTTTTTAAGTGACAGCTCTGCTTGCTTTTATGTTGTCAGCATCACCCTTGATATTTCATTAACTCCTCTATAAAACTAAATATGACAGACATAAATGTATACATTTATTTTGCCAAAGGCAACTTTACACACAATAAATCGTGGTAACAGGTTATATTCCGTTCTTAAAACGAATATCTATTTGATCAAAGATAGATGCCCATTAATGGATATACTTTTCTGTTGCTAAAGATATTTCTAACTTACAGTAACTTAAATCCACTATAGAGATTAAATGAACAACTCTGCTTCCATAGATTTAACCAATAGTCACTGCTATTTTTTATTTTTATTTTTTTTATCTGGACTGATACAATAATCAATATTGGATTGGTGCATCTCTAATAATAACAATAAGAGCTGATGCTTCCTCCACAGAATACAGTCATATGGACATTAACATCACAGTGGCTCACAAGAAACTGTTTCAAATCAAATGTTAGGGCATAATATTTAGTTACACTGCTAATGTAAAGCTAAACTCCTTCTGCGCCAAGCTACATCCTCACAATGATCACCTTGCAAGATTGCATTGGTAGAAGGATAGGGGTAAACAGGAGGCATGTCTATCGCTGTGTAGTCAGGCTTTGCCATGCTGGTTAGGATCAGGCTGTCCATGCTGTGAAGCAGGGTGTGAGTGTCAGCATCATGACAGTTCAGCAGGTTGTTGAGGTGGTCCGGATGATCGGGGTGATCAGGAGGAAGGTCATAGGGGTGCTCATTGGCACTGGCAAGCTTGCTGTTGTTGCGAAAGTTATCAAGGTCTTCGTTATACTGTTGTATTGGTCGTGTAGTTGAGAGGCTTGGACAGGTGCTGTGGTGCTCCCTGGCATTGGTAATGGAGAGGGAAAAAGAAAAGAAAGAAACACAAATGGAGCAAAATGAGAACAAAAATCCATTAAAGAGATAAAGCGGTAAAGATACAGTATACTATCTCCTGTTTATATGAAGAAAATAGATCTTTCCCTTAACTCACTTTCTGACACGGTGTCCTCTGCATCTCTCCTGGTTGCAGTGTCGATGTCGTCTTGTCTTCTGTCCACCCTCCTCTCCGCTTTTCTCACCATCTCCCTCTGCTGCCCTACATAGATGTTTTCTGCACTCTTCTCCCTCCCTGGCTGCTCTGCGGTGCTGTCTACACCTCCTTGCCTCACCACTACCCTCGGCACCTTCACTATGATGCGGAGAAATGCTGTGAGACTCCCTGCACTCTCTGTTCCTGTGCCGATGGCCCCGATGACTCCGGTGGTTGTTCTTCTCCTCATCCTGTTGCCGTTCCGGATTTTCTTCTATGTTACCCAAAGATGTGCAGCTAAAACCATGCCCCAAGTTGGTTTCCATAAGCTGGCTTGTATCTACAGTGCTCGGGTTAGTGGGTTTCTGATGGCGATGGTGGTGGTAGTGACAGTGGTGAGCAGCACGCCGGCGGTGATCAATATCCTGGCGTCGATACTGCTGATCCAGAGGCAGCTCTCCAGGTTGGGTCTTGTTGGTGTTGTTGTTTCGATTGTCCTGTGGGTTTACTACCAGAGGTCTGTCCAAGTGTGTTTTCACGTCGCCACGTGCTTTCCGTGGGAACGACACCTGGGTGAAGATAAAGAAAAGAGGTTTGGAATGATACAATGTAAAAGGCTTGGGGTATCCAAAGTATCATATTCAGTACACTGACTAAAAAATAAAAAACAGTTGTTTGAGTTAAAGTGGTAGAAATGATCTAAAAATCAAAAGGTCATGTGACTCAACTGAAATTATTACAATATCAGGTCAAAGGATAAGAGAATTGGCAATATGAACTCTAAAGTGGTCTGCTGTCAGTAAGGTACATACAGCTGTTTTAGTAATTCTTGATGCAGGTCATGTTAAAGCTGTTGTATTTGTTGTATGTTTAATCTCAATCAGATCTGGGTTTTTAAGGATCGTAAAAAGGATTGCAAAAATGTAATTATTACACTTCACTCGTGCTGTTTTCTGTTTCAAATCAGGCGGCACTCACATCGAAGCATTCTGCTCCAAACTTATTTTATCTTGGTCAGATGTCTCTAGAGGCTTCCTGCTGTGGGGGCAAATCACATCTACGGTTTTAGGCCAAATGATCAGGGAAGTCCCTGCAACCTAAAGGAAGCCATCTGTAAACTTTGTTTTAAATAAATCAAATCCCTCAGCACAATAAATCAGAAGCAACAGAGAAAAGCAGGGTATTGCACCGCCATCTTAGGTACCAGATCTGCTTGGCATGATCCTGCCCAGACAACGATAATGACGTAATGCAGCATTCTTGTGCCAAGTCGGGAGCATCTGTAGCGTTAGCGTGTCTAATGACAGATTGGGTTTTACCTGATAGATAACAATACTGAAAAAATTATGTTTATGGTGAACAAAGTAACTGTTTTAGATCGGTCAGTTAGCCATATTAAGCTACACTACTTTTAACTTTGTGTCAACAGCAAACATTTGTTTTCTACAAGTAGAATAATTGTTGTTTTCTTTGTCTAAAATCTCTACAAAAGTCATTTTTAAGATGTTCCATTTGTCCACCCCTGCCCTCAGATCTTAATAAAAAGAATTAGATGAAGCACTGAGACTTTTTTGTCACCTTGTTAAATGGCAGAGCTCAGTTTGTTTTCTACTTTCGGCTACTTTGGGTCTCAGATAAATTTGAAAAAAGTAGCAAATATGGGGAATAATATGTTGAGACTTCATAAGAAGTCTGTTTTTTAAGAAATGGGTGCAATACCGTCCGAGTGGCATTGCCATAAGCTAGTTGAAGCTACATGTCACAACGCAGATGCTGGGTGATATCATGTTATGGTATAGAAATGTAGCGATGCAACATTCAAGATTATACTTTATTACAAATATAATCATTATTAAGTTTAGCATCACAACCTCCTTCAGAGAAGTTAACCTCTGGATCAACAGGCTGCTGCGTGCAACAGATTTAACTCTGCTGATGCTGTGTGTCGTAGCTCTGCAGGACTCCAATAGTTTATCCAAGTAGAATTAAAGCTACCACTGGTCATAAAATTGGAGAGAAGATATAATAGTCTCCAAATAAGTAGCTAGACATTTTCATCAAATATCACCCCCTCCCACCCCCTTACAAAAAGTTCTAAGGCAAAGGGCATCAAGAAAAAATTTCACTTCATTTGTCTCTCACTGGAGAAATGAGTCTGTTCTCTTAAATGTTTGACATTCGAAAGTTAACAATCATGTTAAATAATCGAGACCTCACTTTCAGTCAAAATAATCGTGATTATCATTATCATTGAGTTTTTGAGTTGTTGTAACCAGCTCTTAAGATAAGAACGGGGTCCATACCCTATTTAAGCTGATCTCACCAGTTAGATTGAGGTTACAGTTTTACCACAGAAACATTTAAATATTACGATGTAATCTGTAAACATAGGTGTCATGTGTAGAAGAGTGTCAGTGTTCCCCAAATAACTACCAGAGCAGATTTGTAGTTACACATTATGACCTCCTGACCTAGGATGATAGTTAAGGTTAAATGTTTATTCCTTTATGCATTTATTGTATTTTTTATTTTTTTTTTTTACCTTCAAACATTCTGTAAATATAAAAGAAATACAAATAGTTTAGCTTTTTATAACATTGGCAACATAAAGCTTGGTTTACGCTTTACGCGTCTACATGGCCCATGTGGCCAAACTAAAAACTTTTGGCCTCCATGCGCCTACAAACATTTGTTAAAAGGCGGGCCTTTCCAGGTGGAAAAACATGGTGAGTGAACAACGTTTTGCATAAACATCTAGAGACGTCCTGTTGTTAGTTGCATTAAAGTAATTAATACTTGAAGATTCAGGGTGTGATCTTTGGTTTACTGTTTTGCAACCTAATGGTCATCATGTTGGACCAAATATGGGAAAATCCTAAATGGCATAAAACCGTTTTTAAGCAGTCTATATACATTATTGTGATTTTGCATGTTTTTAAAGCCTTTTAAAAGCTAGTTAAGATTTAGCATAGCAGCTATCCATTGCAATAGCATTCTCAAAACTAGACCTTTAATGTATGGAAAATGAGCATTAAATTCATAGTTATACAGAATTTGGCAAACCAGCCGTTCATTTTGATATTTCACTAAACAGCTTAAATTAAAGCTGTTATGGTTCTATATGTAAAGTTTGCTGAGCTATTTTCCAGATGAGTCCTCATCGTCTTTCCTTGGATTAGTTTTTGACCTGCTCCAGTTTGGATTTGTCTGCCTTCTTTGAGTGCAGCCCTGAGTTTCTCAGCATGGCCCACTTTAATAATGCAATGCTCCCAAGCATGCAGCTTCAAGTCTTCCCATATAGCAGTGCAATGACAACACTTTTTTTTTTTTCACAAGCTTAAAGGGATATTATACCCTGGAGTTAAAAGATCTGTGGATACAGCATGACCCAGTATGAAGGGTGGCTAAAAACCAGGTCAAAACCCTGCGTAGGTACAGTCTGTCTAAGGCATGGTGAAACTGGGCTGAAATGGAATCAAACAGGCATTAAAATCTGGAAGGAAACTCTGAATTAGTTTATCAAAAAGTCACTGTTGAGGCTGTATTAAAGTTAGCCAGTAAACTTGAATAACTGTATGAAGACATACTGTAGATTTCCATCATAAATAAACCACACCCAGAACTCATACCTTGTCTTAAAATCTGCATAGTTTCTCACTTTATCAGTGCAGAAAGAAAAAAAAAAAACTAAAGACTAATTACTTAAGATTTGATATTAAATGGTTACACTTAGAGGAGTTACCTCTGAAGAAATCTACCGTATGTAACAAAGCAGTGAAAAATACTTCACAGCTGTAAAACGAAATTAAGTTATTTGTTTTATTTATTTTTCTGAAATGTAAAGAATTTTTATTAAGCCCTTTAAGCCTTTATTAATCTAGTTTTACCAGAACTCACTTAAATAAACAGAGTTCATCTTTAGTTAGATCATCCATTTGGTTAACCACTGAAGCCCAAGGAGTTTGTTAAAGAACATTAGTAAACTGTGACTGTATTATGGCATCCGAGACGTGCACTGGATAGATCAAGTAAAAATCACAAAGAATAAGCCTTTTAAATATTATAGAAATATGCAAACAAGCGAAAAAAATACTGTTCACCTAGACTGACACTCAGGGCAGAAGAGTGTGAGAATAAGAAAGCAACCAAGGAATTTAACCCATAAGAGAGCGCTGAGATCTTCATCCCAGGTGTGGGAATTTGTTGACGGGTCAACTTTTAGCAGAGCACTGAACAGATCCGGTAATTTGGGAAGAGTAGTAAAACGAGAAGGATTGTTGAAAGAAAGCTGAACATACTCCAGCTTGCCACAAGGCATGTGGGGGACACAGCAGACAGGTGAAAGAAAGTGCTCTGCTCAGATGAGGCCCAAATTAAAATTTAAGTTCAGTCATGGTATTTCTTATTATACCATATCTACAGTTCGTAATGATCTGTGCACATGTCTTTTTCCACCGTAATATTCCATCTAATCCATTTATGTTTATAACTGCACAGACTCTCTCTCCACCGCTTCTCATTGCACCAAAGCATCCTTTGTAGCCATGATGATATTTTTGCACGTGATTTTGCACCTGACTTTTAAACATACTAAATATATATGCGAAATCTGCATTGCAAAAACTTTGAGATTCGGTATAATCAGTTTGTGGGTGGTAAATATTCACATTTAAATATCCTCCACATTATGCCCATTCTGATGGAACGTGCTGTTTTGTAAAGAAAAACAAGAGACAAAGAGATTCAAAGATCTCTATGTGTAGAGAAACAAAGCTGGAAACACACTGTAATACAGACTTTGCAGCTGTGACTGTAAAAAAAAACAGAAAAAAAAAAAAAAAACGAAAAAAAAAAACAACTGACTTTGTGGTTTTAGATTAGCTTGTAAAATTTTACTTCGGCCTAATTCTGCATAATAAAACTATTTACAATGGGGTAGTACATTAAATTAAATATATCTTTATTTGAAGACTAAAGATCTATCCCCTTAAGCTGTCGGAAATCCTATCACATGCACATTACTGAGAAACTTCATTTTGTTTTGCAAATAACCATTAACTCAGAATTTAATGGCAGCAACACATTGCAAAAAAGTTGGCACAGGGGCATTTTTACCACTGTCTTACATCGCCTTTCCTTTTAACAACACTATAAATGTTTGGGAACTGAGGAAACCAATTTTTGAAACTTTTCAGGTGTAATTCTTCCCCATTCTTGCTTGATGTACAGTTTTTCAACAGTCGGGGTCTCTCCGTTGTCGTATTTTACATTTCATAATGCCTCACAAATTTTCAACAGGTCTGGACTGCAGGCAGGCCAGGAGAGTACCCGCACTCTTTTGCTACAAAGCCACGCTGTTGTAACACGTGCAGAAAGTGGCTTGGCATTGTCTTGATGAAATAAGGAGGGGCATCCATGAAAAAGACGTCGCTTGGATGGCAGCATATGTTGCTCCAAAACCTGTATGTAACCTTTCAGCAGTAATGGTGCCTTTACAGATGTGTAAGTTACCCATGCCTTGGGCACTAATGCACCCCCATATCATCACAGATGTGGGCTTTTGAGCTTTGAGCCCTTAACAGTCCGGATGGTTCTTGTCCTCTTTGGTCCGGAGGACACGACGTCCACAGTTTCCAAAAACAATTTGAAATGTGGACTCATCAGACCACAGAACACTTTTCCACTTTGAATCAGTCCAATAACAAAGTTTACCAGTTCGAACGTTAAGTATGTTGTCTTTGCAGTGTATTCAGTTGGGTAGCTGCTAAAGGTTGTATAATAGATAAAGAAGTGAGCGAGGGGAGAGCTCAGAACATTCCTCCGCCATTTTTAGCCCTTTCAGAAAGGGCACCATGTACTGTACACACTGCTAAGCTATGAAACGCATTAGTAAACTAGTTAAAGTCAACTACTTTAACTGAGACTACCTAGTCCAATGCAAAAACACAGACGTCAACACCTTGTATATAAAAGTTTGCCCTACGTGTGTTTGTACAGTGGAAACCAGAGGAAATAATGCAGCAACAATGATAGCATCATCGATCTAAAAATACATTACCTTGCTAAATTCAAGCTAAAGTTTTTGGGGTCTTGAAATTTAAACTACCTTTAATGTGAGGCAATAGAGAAATGAATACTACCAACCAGCTACCGATGCATCTTGGTGATTGTGTTACTGTAGTAACAAGCTATCAGCCACAGTATTTTGAAGTTTTTGGGTTACATATTTGATTAGTTTTAAGGGAAAAGTGAAAATACCAAATTGCTTTGTAGCTGTGCACTTAGTGTGTATTTGTTCATACTTTTTATTTGTGTTGCTTCTAAAAGTGAAAGAAACAGCATCTACCAACAAGTAACGATGACTATGGCTAGAGATTATGCTTTAGAAATCATGCAAACATTTAATCTTTTTTTCCCTTCTTTTTTAATTCCAACATTAAAAAAATAACTCAATTTAGAGCTGCAATCACTTTGTTACCGTGAATTTTTTGCTTAACATATGACACTGTCAAAATTTTATAATGGCTACTGTCTAATCAGGAGTAGGCTGCAAAGGTAGATATATTTGATGTTGGGGACGGGGGCAGTGTGCAGGTTACTACCCACCTCTTCTCCCTCGCCTCCCACCTTCCAGTCATCCTGTTCCAGCTCATTGTAGAGCACCTCACGGCTTGACATCAGGTTCTGGCGCCGAATCTCACTGGTTCTCTGCTCCCACACAGACTTATTGCCCTTGATGTGGTTCTTCTGCTGCTCCTTTCTGTTGGGAGACGTGGGGATAAAATAATGTGCAGATAAGATAAAAATGTTGCAAGGGGGAAAAGTCAAACAGAAGCCAATAAAAAAAGAGAGGTAAGTAAAAACAGCAGAATAAATAGTGATGTGCTGAAAATCTCAAAGATTTTCATAAAGTACTGCACAATATGTGAGAGTTGTTCTTAAAAGAACACTTATTTTCTAGGGCTTCCTTGTTTCCACTCTTTACAGCAACAAATTAATGTGGGTAACAAGCTACTTCAAATCTTGCAGTCCAAGCCTTGGTTAACTACAGAGCCTGAAGAGCCTTCGAAGTGACTTTGAAAGAGGCAGCAGGTTTATTTGAGCTGTGTTTTGATGTGTCCTATTGTCAGCATTTATCTTCAGCAAGGAACAGAGTTTAGACTTTCCGCCTCTCGCTTTTCTACACTCCACAAAGCCCTGAATCTGTTCTTTTCACTCAGGGAACAATTGCCTAATCACATTTTATAGGACAATGTGTCACTTTGTGTGTTTGTGAATGCCTGCCAATCACTTCTGATGAGAGGCATCTGTAAAAGAATTACACTACACGTGTTTTCTGGCTTTTCTGTACAGTACATGTGCATAATGTTTTAGTCAAAGAGATTTTTGTTTGCAAATGCATGTAAAGCAATGTAGATAGAAACACAAGACTTTTCATAAAAAATGCACATTTAGTTGTAACTGTATTTCCACGAAGGTGCATCTCAACACATGCAGTTAATTGATCTAAATAAATCAGTTTAAAGATGGAATTAACATACTATGTAGATAGATGGCACAAGAAAAAAAAAATTTTTTAATGACTCGTGTCTTGTTTGAAATTAATAAGAGTAGGTAAGGCGAATAGTCTACATCTTCCTCCTGCAAAATATTAGCCTGATTCTTCATTTGATGAGATCAGTAGAGCTTACTGGACATTCAAGCACAGTGATACCACCATCATAAACCAGGCACTGGTATTTTAGGCTCAATGCTAAAGTGTCAGGTTCTACTTAGGAAATTAAAAATCAGTATCTTTGCGGAGTGAATATCTACGACGGAGTATTAGGGTCACACATGAAGAGAACAAATATTTTTGCCATGACGAGATTAAACTCAACATTTCGAGAATAAAGTTGAAATGTCACGTTGAGTTTAATCTCGACGTGTCGACTTTAAACTCGCCCTGTCGACTTTAAACTCGCCATTTCGAGAATAAAGTTGCCATTTCGAGAATAAAGTTGATATATATCGTGGCGACTTTAATCTCGACATTTCAAAGTTTGGAGAAAAGAGCAACCGCGCTCCACAGCTGCAGTCTGTGTTTTAAGAGTGAAGGAAGTCTTTGACGTGCTGCAACTGTATAATCATCACAGGAAGCGGTGGCCTAACGTACCGGTAACGTCTTTCCATATGCTTACCCAGGCTCACAGTTATGAATTTGAGAACATGTCAGTCATTTCAACTTTATTCTCGGAATGGCGAGTTTAAAGTCGACACGTCGAGTTTAATCTCATCAGGGCAAAAATATTTTTTCTCTTCATGTGTGGCCCTAATACTCCGTCGTAAATATCAGAAGGGGGAAGTATGCTGGTGAAGATTCTCAGTCACCCAGGGCATATTCATTCAAAAAAAGTATTAAAAAAAAAATCACTGGACTTTGTTTTCCAGGTTTGAAGACGTTTCGTTTCCCATTCAGAAACCTTTCTCAATTCAAAATGTCTTGACTTTGAGTTCCAGGCTTGTAGAGTGGCACAAACAAAAGCCTTGTTATGCCCTTGTTATGCCTTAGAAATATGCAAATTGAACAAAACAAAAAAAAAATGAAGTCCACCCCTTAGTAATGGGGAATCAATGTTGGCCTGCAAAACCCACTACTGGACCATGCCTCCGAAAAGAAAGTCGTTAAGGTCGTTGTTGGCCTGGCTGACCAGGCGAGCTGTTTTGGACTCCTGCATGGTGATGAGGATTATGATGATAGCTGGAGCGCTTCAAAGAACAGGGAGAGTATCTTAAATGACTGGTAGAAACTGGCTTTTTTTGTATTGAGGCCCACCTTCTTCATTGAGGTCGCCAGTGTGGCTCTGCTAGACAAGTAGGAATCATGCAACATTTTTATGTATTCGACATGTTTTCAAAGAAGAGAAAACATCTGTTTCTTGTTGCCATATTATAAAAGATATAAACAATAATAAACAAGCAAGCATCTCCAGAATCAATCCTACGTAACCGCTGAAGGCATTCAAAACAGTTGAAATAAAAACAAGCATGATTCTGTTAATTTTTTTCTTACACCCTCTACTTCTCCCCTGTGCTTTCTTCGGATCCCATCCATCCTGCTCGCCAGTCTACGCAATTTGATAACTGTTTTCATTTTTACTGTACCTGTTCTTTTTTGTTTGGTTTTTTTCTTTAAAGGATTCTCATATCTCGTTGAAGAGGTAAAGTTTCCTCCGACTCTTTGCCATTACTGGGGCTATGTAGCAATTTATCTTTTAGCAACTGTACCTGGTTCACGATGCACCGGGAGGGTCCTGGCTTTATGTTTTCTTTTAATATATTACTGGTTTGCTCCATCTGCCAACATGTTTTTTAAGGATGTGCACTAAAAAAGCATATGAACAAAATCCCTGCTTTCTAAGTTACGCCTCCAACGTAAATGTGAGCTGGAAAACCCTGCCTGCTGCATCTGGACAGGAGTCCAGTAGAGTATGTTGTATATTTTCAATTGAATCAATTTAGATCTGACATCTCTAATACCACTGAGCATATTTTCTACCATATTGTAAAATTAATTTTATCTTCTTTAACTTGTCTTGAGTTATTTCTCCCATATTTTCTCTAATCCACATTGACCTGGCTACTGTCCTTCACCAGGAAACTATAAAGGATGCTAACTTGATGTGATGTCGATAGACAGACCAAAATAATAAAGAATACGAACTATACTCTGGCTCCAACCCATGTTGCTCTCCATTATTTACTTCCCTGATTTGCGTGTCACTGTCAACATCGCCAATGCTCACCCAGCATGATGGTGTCATCAGCTTGCCAGCAGGTGGTCAGACTCTGCTTTTCCATTAAAATGGGAAAAGAGCCGAAGGTCGACTCTAAGCGGGTCAATCTGGTTTTTAAAAAACCCAGATTTTCAAAGGGAAAGTGGCTATAGTCTTGATTTTGTCCAGAAATATTTGTTGAAAATTGGGCTGTGTTTGGTTGATCTGATTTAGTCCCACTTGAGACCAATAATAGATGTTGATAAGACGTTGCAAACCCTGTTTCCAACGTCTTTTTAGTGATCTGAAAATTACGGCTTTCCACCTTTCGGTTTTCAACCAAATTTTGGTCGGTGGGTTATCTCTCAAGAGAACCAGTCTTTCCGAATAAAGGTCTTACTTCCTGTCTTTGATAATTAATAGGTGTGTTGAGAAAGGAGCTAAACCCTTTTTTATGCACTTGTTGCCAAAAGTTTATAGTATGACTGATAGTGGGCTTCTTTCTATAGAGGTTTGGACATTGACCGAGAGAGTCAGTTAGATTGAACGGTTTGAAGGATTCTGCTTCCAGATCGAACCATAATGTTATCTCTGTCCTTTCACCAAATCTAGATACATTTTGCACACATTATGATTCCTTATGCAGTTTTATATATGGAAAAACCAAACCAATAAAAATGTCTTCTTTTTTTTCTGCAGGCCTTTTATATTCATTTTAAGCTTTTTTTTCCAGCCAGAAAAAAACTGACAAAATGTTTTTTTCTGAATTTATTTGAATATAAGCAGCAAAATATTTACTGGTAAAAAACAAAAAGATCATTATGTTTTGTAAAAATTGTAATTTTAATAGATCGATTTTACAAAAAATAAAATGATTATTTTCAACCAAATTTGAACCATGTAGATGTTTTAGTCCAGGGTTTCATTATTTTTTTTTTTCCTTAAAAGCTAGCTTGTACAAAGTCCATTATGGTAGGACTTAATTGCAATCTTAACATTTTTTTTTTTTTTAGAAAAGTGCTTTTTTCTACTTTCATGCATAGATCTGCGTGCTAGCAGGAAGTTTATTTCCTTTTTAATGGAAGTAAACCAACTTTAAACATATAATGCCCATTTAAAGGGCTAGAGTGGGAAATAATTAGACTCTTAGTCTTGTTAAATGTAACGTGATCAAAATTGAGTCCCTATGTGATTTCAAAATTATAGTTTCTTAAATTGCAATTATATTTAAAATGCAATTACTTGCCCAGCCCTAGATTGCACATTTCCCCATAAAGATAACTGTGATTTATACCATCCCTTAACATAATGGTGAATTTTATTTATAAGTCAACATGCAACTGCTGGCAGCATCATCACTAAAATCAATCCAATCATTACCATAACATTTATGTATTAATAACAATTGTGCATTGGTCTTATCTAATATTCTATTGTCTGAGAAGCTGAATGTTTGGTCTAGTAGTAACTGTTACCCATAATCGCCCAATTCAGCAGAAATGAATACTTGAAATACATCAGTACTAGTTTTCTTTCCTTCTTTTTTTTAATCATTCACGTACTGACAAAAATGTAGATATTTTAAATTCCTGGGAAGCGCCTCCCTGTTTTAAACAGATCTACATTCATAATGTATTTCTGTGCTCACTGACATTAAGTGTGTGTACTTACGCAGCAATTGACAGGTTTGCAGCAGATAGCGGGCTAACCTCTGCCACTTCCTTAGCCTTCTGTAGTGCTGTCTTTTGATTTGCTGCCTCTTCTTGTTCTTCTTCGTCCTATAAAACAAGCCATCAATGTTAAAATTGTTAAATGGTGCTGTACATCTAGAAACAGTGCCACACATCCCTTAATACTGGATAGAAAAAAGGGGCAAATTAAACAATAATATTAATAAGAAGTTGCCCCATACCTTGGTAAGCTCTTGGGCGTTAGCCAGATTGTCAACAGCGATAGCCAAGAAGACATTCAGCAGTGTGTCTTTCAGGAGGTAGTTAGGGAAAACTGCATCATTTTAAAAAGCTGGAGATAAAAATAACTAAATGCAACAAGAGAAATGAAGGAGAACAAATCATAAGCACACCTGTTATCCATGGATTATTAGGATAACTACCGAATAAAGACAATGAAAAAAATTCAAACGATCAGTATAAATATGTTTTAAGGGATAGCCTAAATAACAACAACATATTTCACTCAGAAGAGCTTATAGTAGTTGATTTTACCAAAACAATAAACTTATTTAAGTCTGCAGGATTTCCTCCATACTTAAAATGTACATTTTAGTGTCTGCAAGTGTGAAGCAGGATACAGTTGCCAAATAGTGTGAGGACAATGAAAAAGATGGAGAACACCATTCCTTTGTCGTTTACTCCTCCCTGTGACTCAATGCCATCGTACATCACCATATTCCAATCCTCTCCTGTCAGGATCTAAAGAGAAAAAAGAAGAGGAATTTATATTTTCTGTTGATAACTTAAGAGTCAGAGTGAAAAAAATATATAACAAAATAAAAAAATGTGGCTTTGTACGTATGTAATGATGTGATGTAATTTTGATGCCTATCTATTACCTGGTTAAATAAAGGATAAATAAAATAAAAAAAAAAACAAAGAAAAAAAAATGTGGAACTTTATCTCCAATAAAGATCATAGTTTAATTACACTTAATGTACTTAATGACTTTTTGTTTTGAAATATAAATATGATCCATAAATATCATCCTCTCATCACAGCTAATATTGATTAAGCCCACCGATTCTTTCCCACCTATTTAAGAAAAAATATGCCCCACTGAATTACATCAACAGCTGAAGCAAAACGTTTGATGATGTTGTAGAAATGGTTAGATATCAATTGTTTAGCGTATAATAATGAATCAATTAATGTTTTCTTTGATGAAATCATTTTTTTGCTAAAAAGTTCAATGGTAGAGGAATGCAATGAATTTCACATATAACTTTTCTTAAAATGAACATTTACATTAAATTCTTTTTATTTGGTTTCTAAAGGAAATGACTTTGGACTTTCCTAAGCATAGGAATCAGAATTAACCAACTGATCCCTCATAAACCTGCAGGTTTAGGTTTTTAATGGCAACTAAATCACTCATTGTGTTTTTCAGACACCCTGACCATTACATATTATCTTGCAACCACACATTTCTGTGCCTTTAATTGGTCTCTATGCTATTCATGCTGGTATCATTTTGAAACTCTCATTCCAGTTCAGCTCCAGGAGTATATCTAAGGTATCTTTCTGCTGGAAAGCAAACCCCCACCTTAATCTCAAATCTATGGCAAAAGTGCCCCATCTATCTTCCTATCAAGCATCCCTCAGAGCATGACACTAAGTCCACCATGTCTCATGAAAGAGACGGTGGATTCCTGGTCATATTTGGTGTTATGTTTCCACTAAACACATGTTTTGTTTACAGATGAAAGTTAGATTTTTATCTCATCTTCTGGTGACTTCCAGTTTCCCCTGTGTGTTTGCTGTGTCCTCCATATGGCTTGCTGCAAACTACAAGCTGATCTTATATATTACTTGAACTTAATGAGTAGATGCATAATTTTTCTTCTACTTCAAAACGTTTTACTACTCTGTGTTGGTCCTTTAAATTAAATTCTAATAAAATACATTTAGCTTTGTGATTGTACCGTGAAAATGTGAACGCCTTGACACCTCTGAAAGGCTTTGCAAATATAAAGCCCCTTGCACACCTTGACAATTTGGACTAGCATAAGCCTGATGTACCAAAAATTTGGCAAAAACTCTGGCATACGTTGAAAGTTATGGGTACGTTTTGTATAAGTTATGAGCACGTTGAAGCACGCTGGTTCACATTGACATACGACAAGTACGTCGAGAAATTTTGAGCATGCCTAAAATTTCCCGACATATGCCAGCATATGCCATACATGGGGCATAAGTTACAGGTAAGTTATCTGGTCGTTGACATACGTTAAGTGTAAGTTACCTATAAGGTGAGTAACTTGATGCTTGTGCGTCATTTAATGGGCATTACGCTACCGTGCGCTATGCATAAGTTAGGCTGCTGTTGGACATAAATTCTGGACTCATTATGAATACGCTATGAACACACCCAACATTGAAAAAAAAAGAAAGTTCAGCATATGCCAGCGTTTTAGGATATTCTGGGACGTCGGGCATACGCTGGCTAAATCGACAAGGTGTGACAGGGACTTACTGAAGAGGTTGCTGTAAAACTGGATTGTATTTTCTTTTCAATGACAGATTCCCATCACAAATAAAACTATAAAGATATAAATGTCTTTTATTATAATAAAAAAAAAAGGAACTACCAGGAGCTTTTTTTTTTTTTTTTTTTTACCTGAAACACAGTCATGATTGCTGCTGCAAAAGTATCAAAATTGGTCGGCGGGGTTCCACTTTCAAAGTTGAATCTAAGGAGATCAAAATACCATGTAAGTTAGAGCAAACAGAACAAAGCAGACATACAATAATGACCCCTTAAATTAGGCATCTGTAAGCTTTGCATTGATTCTTACTGTCCTCCAAAAAGCTGCATCCCCAACAAAGCAAAGACCACAATAAAGAGGAAGAGGAGGAAGAGCAAGCTGACAATGGACTTCATGGAGTTCAAGAGAGAAACCACCAGGTTTCTAAGTGGCGCCCAGTACCTGAGGAGGAAAAGGAGCTTTTTAAGACGTGCAGAGAATTTTTGTAAAGGAAAATACATAAAGTATCAATGACCCACTATCAAGGTGTTCTTTAAATTGAATATTTCATAACTAAAGAACACCTTGACACATTACTTTCCCATGATGTTTTGGCCTTAATAGCATCGTCTCTCCAGCAAGTTTCTGTAACCTTCCCAGCTTCTTCTCCTCATCCTGTCACTTTTTTTTTTGTTTTCTAATATTTACTCTTTCCTAAAATAAACCTGTAATACTTGTGGTATCTTTTATTTATTTTAGCTTTTACTTCAGTCTGATATTTGTTTTTGGTTTTTACTCTCCTTGTATGACACTTAGCTTGTATCATTTAGACTTTAAGACTTCAAAATTTCAATGCAATCTGTTTTATAATCTAAAGATAGTAAAGGTTAAACATTTTGGGTAGGTAAAGTCAAGGTCTGCGCTTCCATAGCCCTTTATAAAACCACCATAGCAAAGTGTCTCCTAGTGTCTCTTAAACTTTTAAAAGGTTTGGATTTGGAGATTTGGAATCTCAAATAAAAGAAAATATTATTTACGTATTGCTATGAAATGAAAACAGGCTATTAAACTCAAGACTTATTGCTTCAGAAAAAACTGTTTCTTTCTTATGCTCCCAGAAACCAAAATTAGGATTCCATGCACCATTCGATATAATATATGCACCATTCAGTGTAATATGAGCCAAAAACATTTGTAAATTTTCCAAAAGAAATAGCCGAATAAGAGCTAAAATGACATAAATACCGTGATTACAACTGATCTTATACTGTAAGTATCTCCAGCATCACACTGATGTTTTGTTTGCAGAATGAAGTTTAAAAAAAGGAGCGAGACCTACTTGGTAACTTTAAAGATGCGCAGCAGCCTGAGAGCTCGTAACACACTGATGCCGAATGACGTGCCTGGTTTTATGGTGGACCACACAACCTCAAAGATGCTGCCAACAATTACCTGTAATCCCACACACACAAAAAACAAGCAAACATACATTTCCACTGTGGTTATTTAGTGCAGGCTGCAGAGAGGATAAATCAGCAGTGTTTTAGCCATATAAACCCAAAAGTCTCCCTATGCTACACTTTTCCAAAAGCTCATTTGTGATTCAAATGTACCAAACGTATTACTTTTGCAAAAGAAACAGAGAATAATAGTTGTGTACACTGAAACCATACTTTACTCGCACAGCAAGAACATAACTATTTCAATCTTGTTTGTGGAATTGTAGGAGGCTTAAAAGGGATCTACTAAAATAGTCAAGGTAACAGTTCAAGTAGCTCAAGACATCTTAGAAAGTGAAGAGAGCATTTACTAGTTAATTTGCTTTGTAATTTCAAAAATAAAATAAACTACTCAGAAGAGATACAATATATTACATTAAACTGAAAGTACACTGTTTTGCAACACTACTTGCGAGAATTAATTCACAAAATTCAAGTCGGATTGGTTTAAAATTCGCAGTCTTTTTTTACTTTTCTTTTTTATGAAGTCATGGCTTTTGTGTAGGTTTGTGAAAACGCTGGAGCACTCACCACACAGTCGAAGCAGTTAAATGAGGAGTGGAAGTAGGGCTGGATGCCCAGACCATACATCTTGATCAGCATCTCAGACATGAACAAACCGAGGAATATGAACTCTGCATAGACTGCAGGAGGGAAGAACAGGAAAAGGAAGGAGAGAGGATAGGAAAACATTAAGAGTGCAAAAGAGGAAGAAGTTAAGGAGGAGAGAATTTTTATAAACCAGTAGCATAGAAACATACTGTAAATGTAAGATAATATTAGAACAAGCAAGAATAAATGTAGGAATGGTATAAATTACAGTCAGAGACTAGTGTGTATGTGTGAGACGCAGAGACTGAAAGGAGTAGAAGTCAATTGTGGCTTGCGTGGAAGTGTGTATGACAGTGCGGTGATGAATGGACTCCATGAGGAAGTACTGTACAGCTTCATATGCTAATGATGCTGGACAGCAGCCAGAGACAACAAGGTGATTCTGCTGAGTGTCGCTTTTTATGTCAATACCAACATATCTGTGACATTAAAAGGATAAATAATATGGTAGACCTCAGCTACAGTTGAAAAAGTTGCAAAACAATTTTTTTTATTTATTTATATTTTTTGTTGAGCTATTAAATTAGCTAAGAGGTACATTTTAGGAGTTAGATTATATCAAAACAATAAAAAATAACTAATAGACTAAAAAGTGTAAAATGGTCTTGCTATGATATGCAAAATAAAAGTATAAAAAAAGGTGCAAAATGTTGTGAATGTTGTAAATTGTTGAGCTTTATCCCAAAAAGATGCATAGAAAAGTGAAGTTTTGTTTGCAGGTAGAGAAAGCAAACTTTAAAACATTAAGTGGAAAAACAATATCAAAGCAAACAGTTTCTCTATTTAAACTTTGTTTTTACAGTTCAAGTGTAACAAAAAAGTGTCTTAGTTTAGTATCTGTGCTTAAACACAAACATATTTTTTTTTTTATTTAAATGCAAAAGGAGCGTAATATAATGTGATATGCTGATGGTTTGGGTAAGAATAGCACATCATATCAGTTGGGTGAAGATCATTTTGGTAAAAAAATAAAAACTAAGAAACAAAGGCAGTCACTTTATAAAAACTTATTTCTTTTTTAGATTCACAACATTAAAAATAAGTGGAATTCCTGTTACATTTCTTGTTACTTTGTAATTCTGTGATTCAATTATATTACGAATCTCAATAAAATTCTCATAGACTGTCCTTGAGGTACAGTCTATCAACATGAGGTTCTGTAGATCGATTACAGGTGAATTTTTGTGTTGCTTCTGCATTATGGTTTCATTTTGTGTAGAATAATAAATTATATCTTCAGATTTTCAGATCTTTTTCAGTAATGGTAGTTTACATCATAACAAAAGAAGCTCAGATCATTGTAACTTAATAAACCACTTTCTATATTCAACTAACTTATATATCACAAACTCACGAAAAATATATGATAGACACTTTTGAGCACAGTTGGAAATAATTTAGTTTCACTTTAAAAAATAAATTCTGTGCAAATTAAAATGAGTCAAATTTGATCAGATATTATGGTAAATTGTTGGTTGACAGAATGTAAAATTATTTCAGTTATTTTCTAGGATTGGTCAATACACACTGACCGTGGTTTTAAATCAATGCTAAGATTTATCTTTATGTTTCTCTAAATTTTAGTTTTTAAGTCTAATCATTAAAACTACCAAATATGGGAGTTAAACTGCATGTGTTATTTTGTTAGAAAGTGCAATAAGTGGGCATGTTGCTGGTTAAGATGTAAAAACCAGTTTAGTTCCGCCCATAAAATTAGCAGTTTGCATTCTATACAGATAGTTTAAGGGTGGCCATAACAGAAAGGTGAGGTTCTAAGCCACAGAGATGCAGCTCATAATACTAACTAATATTGACTGTGCAAATAAAGTGCTATGAATGGTAAAACTTGGCTACACTTTGTGCACAGTTATGCTTGACTAAACTAAGGGAGGAGAAAAAAATCAAGGGCTGCAAGGTGGAGCAATGGGTAGCACTGTTGCCCTGTACCTAGAACCTTCTGTAGCAAAAAGTTCTAGGATTGATTCCTGGCCTGGGGTCTTTCTGCATGGAGTTTGCATGTTCTCCCCTTGCATGCGTGGGTTTCCTTGGATACTCCGGCTTCCTCCCACAGTCCAAAAACTCGACTTTTAGTTTAATTGGCTTCTCTAAATTGTTCTTAGGTGTGAGTGTGTGTGTGTGTGTGCATGGTTGTGTATCTTTGCGTGTCTTTGTGTTGCTCAGCAACAAACTGGTGACCTGTCCAGGGTGTACCCCGCCTCTCGCCCATTGACTGCCGGAGATAGGTATCGGCCCCACTGCGACCCTGACAAGGACTTAGCGGGAGAAAATGGATGGATGCATGAATGGAAAAACATTCCTGTTGTGAAGAGATAAAACCTTTAAAAAAAATGCAGAAATATTTAAGTATTTTTTTAATATGGTTTAGTTGGATAAAGAGTTTTCAGATTTTCTGCTGCATTAATGTATATAGACGTTTTTGTATTTATTAATATTCTTTTAATATTGTTATTTCTGATTCTCTAATTATATTTGCATGTGCACAGACCGTCTCTATCTTCTGTCATCGTACCAAAGCCTTCTTTGTAGCAGCAATAATAATATTTTTGCATGTTTAAAAAAAATAATATTTTTGCATGTCTGTTTGCGCCTGACTCTCAGGAGTACTAGAAAAGACCCCAAAACTGTTGAGTTTACAATTAGGAATATTGTTTTTGCACGTTATAAATATTTACAGTTGCACAAATTTATGCAGTTTGGTCATTAAATACGATCTGAACATTGCTTAAAAACACTGGCAAAAAATGGTTTGCACACGCTTTCTGCTAAATTCCAAATGCAAACACTTTTGCATCTTTTTTTAGGAAAGCAAACCTTCTGAAGGATATATACTGTATATAAAAAAAAAGGTTTTAATCATATTCATTGTATTAGTTCCGCACATTAATTTGTCTCTGAATTGATTTGAAAACTTTATTAACAAATTACAGCTATTCATTGTTGTATTTGATAGATTATGATAGCGGGAAGGAATCAACTCTATCGCTGCGTTGCAGGTTTTTGAGAGCTGGAGTCCACCCCATCTGTTTCATGTTGGTTTTTCTCTCTTTACATAAATGGCTTCCTTCACACCCCTTTCAAACCTCCTGTCTTCTTTGTCCAAAATGTGAACATTCTGGTCCTCAAAAGAATGTCCTTTGTTCATAAGGTGTAGACTCTGCGTTGTTTGATAAATTGCACATTTTGGAGAATGTCACAAATATTATATTATATTATGACAAATATTTTCATTTATCTCCTCCACATTGACTGGTTCGTCTCCTCCCTGACCTTCAAACCGTAAGTAATCCTAAGCCCTATTTGTAAAACACACAATAAGAGATATGTGAGAAGTATAATTACTGCTCAGTTTTGCAATACAGGGAAAAGCAACTGTTTGGTTTTTACCGTAGTATAACAGTGGAAAAGTTTTTTTTCATACTGCGCCTTGTGGATTTGCACCAGTGTAGATTAGAACCAGTCTTTGTATTTACTCACAGAGAAAGTCGGAAAGAAGCTCCGGCTGGTCGTAATGCACCACGGCCACACAGATGGTGTTGAGGCCCACAAGGCAGAGCACTGTCCAATAGAAAGCCTGTGTCTTCACTATCTTCCTGATGAAGAATCGCAATCGGCGCTCTTTTTTGCTGTAGTTAGAGCCGTCCTTACCGCTCTTAATGCTAGAGCGAGCAAAGCCTATAGGCAAGAAGGCAATACATCACCCACAGTTTAAAAATAAGGAGCATAATATCCAGAAGAAAAAAAAGAAGAAAACTTTTTGGAAGGCTGATTTGCTTCTATTTTTTAAAGTTTATCGACATCTTTAATGAATCATACATTTTTCAAACTTTCTTACCTACTGCATCTCCTATGTTGTCTTCTCCTTCCTCTTGATTTAGCAGCTCTGTTTTGTTATTTCTGGTTTTGATAGTTGGCCTTCGTCTCGAACCTAGAAAGACACAAAAAAAGGCAAAATGTCTTTTATATCCATTAATTTCTGAGAGGTCAGTCTAAAGTGCTAAAGTACCTTTGCTTATTTATTAATTTTCACATTTGAATTACTCCTCATATTTCCACTGAAACAACACATTCAGTTATATACCAACTTTTGGAGATTAAATAAATAAAAGTTGAACAAATATTACCAATTGTGGTTCTTTATACAGTTCTGTTGCCCCCCCACCCCAAAGACAAAGACTGTCAAAGACAGACTTGTGTTTACCATCAAAGTTTCCGGTGGCATCTTCTTCAGCCAGAATTACCTCCTCTGTAAAAGAAAATGGCCCATAGATGTAAACGCAGATCCCTGAGTTTTGTCTATCAGGAGCAATGTGTTTTTAAGCATGAACTGACCTGCTTTGCAGATCCACTCCAAATATCCATTAAGCTCTCTCTCGATCTGCTGCTGTCGCCTCAGCTTCAGGAACTCACTCCTGTTTTCGACCCGTTCCCTCTCTTTGGCAAATTCACTGTGAGAACATTTACTTTATGTTCCTAGTTGCTCTAATCATCACGATATTCCAAAGTGTGCATGTAAACACATTCTTAAATGTAAAGAAGCAAAGTGAAATAAGTAAGAAAAAGCTCAAACGATACCCTGAAAGTACACCCAGCACCAGGTTGAGCATAAAGAAGGAGCCAATGATGATAAGGGGGATGTAATACATCCAGTTCCACATGCTGCCCTCTACGTCATTGCTCTGCAAGAGACAAGTCACATCAGTGCGTCACATCAGTTGCTCTTCACCACTTTAAGACAGCGTTTGCTCAAATACTGTCAAAATATTTAAAGAAACTTACCTAGACTATCTTAGTCTAGCATGGTTCAGATACACACTTTCAAGAAATGTAGCAAAAAAAAAAAACCCTAAGAGGTGACCAGCAATTATCAGGTTAGTGTGTAGGTTTTATTATCAGTGAGGTCCGAAACTAAATTCACATTAACAATAAGAGCTGAAAGAGGTTCAAAAAATAGTTTTTCATATTATATGTCCAGACATGTCATGATTAACAAAACCAAAGATTGTGAATATTTGGTAAAGCCAGGTGCACAAGCCATGTTAATCACTAATATAAGGTGCAGAAGATGATTTAAAAATGTGCATTCTTTTATCATGTTATTGTGAGCGGCTACACTCACAAGCTACCATATGGCATTACCTCTTCTCCTAAAAGAAATGATTGACCTATGAATAACAAATAATTGTGCACTTGTGTTACACTTTTTCAGAGGGACTTAACTTGTAATTCCACACATTGTTTAATAGCAAGAATGATTGGTTCATGTTTTAAAGCAGAGATAACTTCTACTCCCATGGATTTATATGATATACTGTATATCAAATCTAACTAATGGAGTTTCATATGGACAAAAACTGAAACGGTTTTAGAGTAAGACATGCAATTCAACAGGTTAATTTAATGGGTTTTAGGTAAGAAATGTTATCCAGTAGATGGTCATATTATTGAATAGTTTTTACATGGGGCACATCATTCTATCAGCTTCACATCAGATATACATTTCCAGGGCTTTCATGTGAAACAGGCAATTACTCTGGGTTCAGATGGGACATTTAATTTCACGAGTTTCACATTATATTATGTATTTCAGTTGGCTACAAATGTGATGTGTGGGTTTCACACATGGTGTGTACTGTATTTAAATTTCATATGTGCAATCCAATTCCTGAGGTTTTACATGGGACATATTTTCCAGTTTCCCATAAAAGATGTAATTTAATTGGTCTCACATAAAACATAATATATTATCAACTTCTATATTAGCAGGTTTGACAATTTTATACCCTATTTGTTAGGGTACAATCTAGCACTGAAGAGTTTAAGCCAAACAAACATGTTTCATTTCACATCCACCTCGGGATGTTTTAATCATGTTTTTAAAACTGATTTCACAAAATTAAACATGAAATTTCTAACATGTTTTAAGCATCATGTATGTGATTTCTTCTCATGCATCATTTATATACTTTTTTGTGGCTTTTGTTTTTGACCTGACTCATCTGGGTCACCGTTAATCAAGGGATCTTAAGACTATTAAATGAAAGAGAGTTGTTTAAGTGATAAGATGTAAGTAAATAAAAAAATATATATATATTTGATATTTGTTAAGAAGGAACCTTTTGTTCAGAAAGGCTAACCTGAAAGCAGGTGCCATCTGTTTGAATTCACAAAAAAATATATGAACCAAAATCTCTGAGCAATATCATGTTGCAGCTAATCTTCCATTTAAATGTGCTTGATGTACTGGGTTGATTATTGAGAAAACAAAAGCAGTGTCTTGCTTTTGTCTCTACCAGTAAACAAACTTAACTACCAATCAGATAAAGGACAGTCAATATTATCTTTCCATAACACTATTCTGTCACCTGGTCGCTGACTGGCTGTGGGATGTGTACATGTGTCAGGTTTATCTTTATCCAGATGGCACAATACCAGCTGCCACATGGCTATTAAACTTTCATTGGTTTCCTCCTGACTGCATGTGTGAGTGTGGAAGTCAGGCTTCATCCATCAGAAAAGATGTTAAATATAGACAGACCAGAATAGAGACCTAAAGAGAGAAAGAGGCCTCGAGAGATCTCAAAAAGCAAGGAAAGGGCAGATGGGAAGAGGTCATTCATGATGAATAGGAGAGAAAATTGGAGGAAAAGTATTTAAGCATTGTTTTAATCTAGACTACTTAAAGCTGAATTATCATTATCATAGAAAATCAAACCCAAACCCAAAAGTTCCGCACTATAATGTGAAATCTGAAAAAGTGATATAAATAATGTAATGATAGCTGAAAACTATTGCAAGATTATTCAGTAGATTTAAAATATTTGTTAATGGAAAAAAGCTGAAATTTGTAATTAATTTGGAAGTCACAACTTTCTTGAATCTTTTGTGGAAGGGACCAGATTTTTCTTTAGCGTATTTAGGATTCTGTAGATGTAACACGACTACAAATATGTCCCAATATATTATTATTATCATTATATTATATTGGGACACTGTGTAACAGTGTCCGCCTCAAATTAATGACTGTACAGTATTTAAATTGGCATTATTATTGGTGAGTTATTACCTCCTCAAATGATCAGATACATGTTCAAAAGTAAAGTATTAAATAATAGGATGAATGTAAGGCTGGTCGCCTCTTTGCAAAGCGCCATGACAGCCTACAGTACCATCTTGAAAGTACAGAAGCCGACAAGGGAAAAAAATTGCACTTAAGTGCAGAAACGCTACTGAAGGAAAAGATATTACAAGAGACACCAAAGTTACGATGTTTCTCCTTGACAAGTGAACGGTACAACCTAAATTAGTGTAAAGCAAAATTTCTTCATTAAGTTTAATTGGACAGTGTTGCTTGTTACCATAGAATCTATAAAAGTAGATCGTATAAACATATGCAGATCATGTTGGTACAGAATTGTTGGTTTATATGGGCTTAACGCTGCAGTAAATGTTGGCTTTTTATCACAGTAAATGCCAGCTTGTAGAAACTTCATTCACTTTTGGTGACATGGTTACACCTGCATATTGAGGCTTTTTGACGCATAATTTACCAATTGGTGCTTGAGGCAGTGGGGTGCTAATTGCAATGTTCATTTGAGTGTAATATCCCCAATTTCACCACTGGATGACATATTCAACTGCTGGACAGTTTGATTAAAAGAAGAGTTAAAAAATATAAGCGGAAGGAAATAATTGGAAAATAAAACTTGGCTGCCTGTTCAAAATCGAAGAAGTACCTGACAAGTTTTTTCTTTTTCATTACTTTTACAGTAGTTTTGCAAATTGAAATGATAGTATAGCTTTTATTTTGTTGGACATACGTAGTAGAGCATGTCTGTCCATCCTTCCATTGTGATGCACTGGAAGACTGTGAGAACAGCGAACAGGATGTTGTCAAACTGGGTGATGCCATAGTTTGGTCCAATCCAGCCAGAATCACATTTTGAACCATTGGGGCACAGCCTGGAAGGAGTATGGTTACCACACGGACGTTCCTCCACTATCTCTCCTAATTAGAGAGAATTGGACAAAGAAGATGTTGATTAACAATTAAAAATGAAACAACACAATTACCTTCAAAAATACCCTGAAAGCACAACAATGACTCCCATAGGAGGTAAGAAAAAAGCAAAGACAACATTTAAACTTACAAATTTTCTCAAGGATTTTAAGGAAATATTCAAAGGATAAGGAAGAGTAAACAGTGTGTATGATGAGAGAATAATAACATCTGACATGTAACTAATAAAGAATTTACAAAAAGACATGGTGGTAGCGTGATAGCCCAAAAGACCAGGGTGAATGTCATAACTGATGCACAGTTACTATTTATTAGCTAAAGGTGAAGATCCTGTCATAAAGTGAGCTAGAACTCAATTGAGTTCAAATTTGACCACAATACAATAATAAAAACACACCAAACAGGTCCACTTCTCAATGTCTCAGAAAAAGAACAACAAAATGAAAAAGTCATATTTAAGTTGTGTGGCCTGACTTTATACAGATGGGTCATACTTGAAAACTCATTCATGAGGCCTAATTAAAACAATTCGGAAAAGAGGAGTAGGCAAAAATTCCTCTACAAAAAAAAAAAGAAAAAAAGAATATATATATATATATATATATATATATATATAAAGCTAAGTAGTTTTGAATGATGTTGCAAATCACTGTATCCTGACAAGTTCAGTAAACAGATGCAACAGAATCTCACCTGCTGGTCTGTTTCATTTTAATTTTTTTACATTTGACCAAAAATACAAAGGATGTGGCCATGTCTTTTACCGTTTTGCTGACAGCTCATACAGTTATCATTATTTTTGCTTTATCCTTACGTGTAACTTGATCATAGCATGTTGTATGGAATTTCCCCATGTAGAACTCCAAGCCAATGATGGCGAACATAAGGATAGCCACGAACAACAGCAGGCCAATCTGAAGCAGGGGGATCATGGCCTTCATTATGGACTTTAAGACCACTTGCAGACCTGGAGGACAATGCAACACACTCAGAGGAAGCTTGAAACAACAACAAAAAAGAAGCTGAAATGTGCAAAAAATCTTCTTGGTTAGCTGTGCTATTTTACGCTGACTTTTATTGCTAAATACTAAGTCACTTACTTAGTCATATTTAAGTCTGTCTCCACTTTCTAATGCTTAAAAGGTATAGAGGACAATCTTTATTTCCGGGTGGATCAGCTAAATAAGTGGTTATCACATTTCTGGTGATATGTGTGCGTAAGGTTGTCCTACGTGCTCATCCTCGGTTAGCTATCTTTTTCTGCGCATGCGCACTTTCAGACGTATATGTGTGGTGAGCTACGGTTTCAGCCTGTCATTGAAGCTCACCTTTCTCACAGCGATTCTTTGAAAATGGCCGAGGGTCGTAAGAGAAAAAGTGTCAATTAACCGAGTTCATTATGAAGTCCACTATATAGTCCCTGCTCTATATAGTGATTGAGGAATTTAGGGGTTAGGGTGGACCTTCCGGCACAGTAAGCTTGTATGAGGTATGAGAACAGCAACTTTTAAACAGAGCGTGCACAAGGAGAAATGGGCTCTTGCATGCTTGTGCATTTTTTTTTTTTTAAGTGGAGAGGGAGGGTCTTTTAAAAGATTCAAGAATATCTTTCACAATATATTTAACTAATGATAAAGAAATACCCTGGTGGACCAAACGAAACCTAAATTTACCAAACTGCTAAAATACATGTAGGAATTTCTTACAATTTGTGTACTGTCTATTCTGGATGGGAAAATTAAAACATTATTCTTTATTAAGAAAACAAAAAGATAGCGGCAGGTGTTTGTTTTTTCTTAGATAAAATAATAAAATCCATCTCAACTCACTGGGAATTCCAGACACCAGTTTAAGTGGCCGAAGCACCCTGACAGCTCGAAGTGTCCTCAGATCAAGTTGTGACCCAACAGATGACAGAATCCTACAGAGACAAAAAAAGTACATAAGTTACTTGACCAGAGAACCACATTTGATACAATTGTTCAGTTTATTCGGTACTACTAACAAAAAAAGGTATTGTTTTGTTTTTTCCTACAACTTATCTGGAATATTTCTCTCACCCATGAAGGTGGCATTTATTTTCTAATTGACAATCCAGAACTGGAAGTTCCTAATTCCCTATACTGTTAAATTTAGCAATTAATACATATTCTTGAAACAATATATTAGCTGTAGTTGAAAATGCAAACCTCCATAAAGCCATCTCTGATGGTCTTCTTGTATAAAAGTTAGTATAGAGGTAAAGGCCTGGTGTGCAGATAATTTAAAATACTGCATCCACATTAAGTTTAGGACATAAGCCTTAAGAGCTTTACTTTTGACCATTTCATCTACAAATTTCTTGTTGTTAAAATCAATTTTGTTTCTTCTTTTTTCCCCCATGAAAATTTAAAAAGGTATTAAATTTATCCTTAGTTTATTTGTGATTAATAAATTATTTCATCATGATTGTTTACCGCTTAACATTTATATTCCGTCTTTATATTAATTATTATCTTAATATTATTATTTCAGCAAATTTTAAAATGCTTTCAAAAAATATTTTTCATACCCTACCAGTGTCCATAGCAACTGCTGGATGTATTTTTGGCAAATTTGTAACATAGTCCGGACCAGCTTTATTTCAGTGATGCTGACTCTCTAAAACATCATAGAAAGAAAGAAAGAAATGTAGGAAAAATAGATACCAACTAATACCTGCACCTCAAATATACTTTATATTTCATATACATGGATCTAAATTGGAGGGGGAGGAAAAGACGGAAAATTTGATTCTTCATTTTTTTCATATTAATCACTACTAATCTGCATGCTGGTCACTAACAGGTTGCTTATTTTACAAAATGAAATACACACAAGGGCTAAAGCTTCTATGCAAAATTATTAAGGTAGTAGCAGGAGTCTAAATTTGTGTAAATACTGCAGTTTTTACAATGATTTTACTATTTCAGTAGAAAGAGCAGTTTGTTGGGGTGTGTCAGCTTTTGTACTTTGTATACAGACCTGCTGATGCCTTGTTTTTACATGGCCATTTATATTCATTCACTTTTAAACCTTAGTCAACGAAATCACTTCGATAGGTCAGGGAAAGTCTTGTGAAGTACTTTGAGAAGTAAAAAGCTAAAGAAATATCCAGGTAGCTAAGAGTCCACTTTTGCTGCAACTCCAATGAGTCAAGTTGCATCATCCATGCATTTCCTAACCCTAAAATGCCAATACAGAAAAAAAAAAACAACTCACACAGAGGCTAGTATGTAAACATTTTATCACCTCAAGACAATCAGTATATCTGTACATGTATCTTTAGATTGTCTGGGGTAATTTGAAGATCTGGCGCAATCATACTTTGACAAACTGAAGAGTTATGGAAAAGCATCTGTGCCCATTGATCTTTTTCTTGTTTTTTTCATTTTACAACTGCAAAGTTCAAAGTTACTTAAACTGTCATTCTTTTTTAGCAAACCTGCAAGAACATGGCTATCCATATGAAGTTTAAAGTAGGCAAGTAGGACATTACCTAGCAAACCATCACAGAGGCTCGTGGTATCTCTAAGAGGACAACGACTGATCCTCAATACGCATCAGACAGTCTCCATCAAATACGACCATTAGGACAAGTTTTCACCCCACTGTTTAGAACTTTTAACATGTTAAAACCATCTAACCTTTTATGCCACTTTACAACTAAGTATATTAAACCCTAAATTAATACATTTTGGTTTATAAATACTTCTTCATAACACCATCAAGGTTTATGCAAATACAGTACCACATAAAAAAGCCCAAGTAAGTTGAAGATCTATTGTTATAAGACACAGCAAAAGACTAACTAAATAAATTTTTTTAAGCTAAACTTAAACAGTAAATAGTCATTTTTAATTGTTTAATATAAAGCTTTTGAATAGTATTTCCTAATGCAGAAAACTGGACATTTGCACATTGCTTGCTATGTGCCCTACTGATAATGTGCTTTAATTCTACAAGTTTATAAGTCAGTACATGGAAATGTGGAAATACAATAAACACAAAAGAGTATTTGAAAAAAAAAAAAAAAACACCCAATGGTGTTTTAAGCACTGAAAGAAACTTTGCTTAATTTCATAAGTTTTCAGTCATTTTGTTTTAATTTCCTATTTATTTGCACCCCAAACCCCGTTCATCTTTCTTTAGGTTTGTTGCTAATTTCAGTAAGAGGTAATGTATTAATAGACACAGCATTGGCAGCCAAGCCACTCATTTCCTCAATGGATTTTTAACAGCCACAGTAAAAAGACCATACTGCAAGCTTTGGCAAAACAGACCTCAGCAAAAAACCCAAAATGCATTGGTCTGAAGTGACCTTGGATTGATTCAGATTTTCTAAAGACATTTTGAGAGGCTTTTTTTCTGTGTAAAAATATCCCTTAAATACAACTTAAGTTATTTAAGCACCATGATTTGCATTGGACATTGATTTTTTTTTTTACTTTTTATCCTGTTCTTTTTAGTAACACCTCAGTGCATATTTATCCTGTATCTCCAAGATTAGGTTTCATGCAAAGCTTACATGGTTAGCAACCAACCCCCTCTCCCAGAGAACTCAAATCTTCAAGAAGCAGTTGTCCCTAGCAACAGCTGAACCAGCCCACAGTGCACATTGGTGGCCAGTAGATGGAAGCAGAGAGTATACTGGCATTTGTACAAAAAAATGGGTAGGGATAAGTGGACATACATAAATAAGAAGGAAGTGTGAGAATCATGTAATGACAGGGAGACTAATACAATGTATTCTCAAACATTTTTGAGAGAATACAAAGAGTAGATAAAGGCGAGTAATGACTTGTGATTATGGCTATGAACATTATGATTTGTTTGATTTATTATTATGACTGTTTATGTTTGAAGTTGTCAAAAGATTTGAGGTGCAGTAAATGAACTGGCAGAGAAGCATCATTCATCAAAACATCTCCACTCACAAACAGATGTATTAACTCGACAAAGGCATTGTTTACCTCAGTAAAAATGGAATAAATAACATGGTTGGGCTAATAGATAAAGTGATTTAGAGGTATAACAGTCACTTTTTGTATGCTCTTCAATACTTTATGAAAGACATGACAGAAAAACTAAATGTAACCTGAATAATGTTGGCCGAAAAAAGTATATATATATATAAAAAAGAAATATCTCACATTCAATTGTGACAAATAAACTTTAACAAAATGGCATTGGATTGAAAACAATAGGTGAATGATCAAATATTTACCGACTAATGAATAACCTTCAAACTCCACATTTCACTACATAAATCAGCCACTCAACATATTTTCAGCCTTAAACCAGCAGTCACTCTGCAAATAAAAAAACTAAAGAGCCATTTCTGGTCAGTCTAAATAAAGGAGTCTAATATATTAAATTGAATGTGTTTAAAATGAAGCAAAGGCATGAACTGTAAGAAGCTCCCTAAAAAACAAACTGCCTTTTCTAGAATATGTCGAGACAAGTTAAAGTCTATAGAGACACATAAGGGTAGAGAGAGACAATAACAGGAGGCTGAACAAATACAGCAAGTTTCCTCGCTTTTATTTTTGAGATTTTAGCTTTTGTTTTATTGTATAAGCTGGATTTGAAAAAGGTTGGTTGGTTTCTTGAAAGTCTCTGATTTAAGTTGAGGATCAAACTTTTTCAGCCCCCTGAATGTGCTGCTTTAATATTGCTGGAAAAATAAAAATATAAAATATTATCTTGTAATGTGGTAACAGTAGAAATAAATTTTGCCAGGAAATATACAGCTAAAACGCGTAAAGAATATCTCCAGTTTTTAGGCCTAAATGCAAATATTTGGTATCTGAAAGTAAAACATTATATATTTTTTGTCAGTGAAATCAGAGGTACTACGGTATATCTGATTTATTTGTTCATAAATCAAGAGTTTTATTTTTTTAACCTTGCCATTTGCCCCCCCCAAATTTTAATAAAATAGTCAAAGCATTGAGATAAAAATGATGGAAACCAAGGAGAAGCATACAATCTATGGAACTGATAAAACCTCCTTTAGAAATTACTTCCTTTGAAAGGGTCTTCTTATTAGGGAATATTAGGCAGAGTTTAAACATCTGTCTTACTGTAGCAAGGCCTACCTGTGAACCTTTCAGGCAAACTTTGTAACCATGAAATTGTTTTTTTAAAACAACATTAATTAACGTTAAATAACTTTTAGCTATATATATAAATGGCAGTGTAAATTGGTCAATTTACAGCACTTGGTGCCAAATGATGCCCTCTGTGGGCCACTCTTCTCAAGAACTCACCTACCTAACTTGAAAGTTTCGGATATGTCACTAAATGAGTCCCTATGAACACCAGAGCCATCCCTAAAAAGTTGTTGTTCAAAACAAATATGAAACCT